CCTCTTGTAAACCTAAATAAAGACGCTTGGAAGCAGGGCATTGAGGCAGACACACCCTCCTGCTCTGCTCCTCTGCTATTCATTTCTCTCTCTTTTTTTTTTTTTTTGCCTTCTCCTGTTCTCTTTATTTATTCCTTTGCTTTCTGGGCTTTATGGGCTCACCTTTACCAAGAACGGTCCAACTTAGTTGTCAGCCCATAATCCAAAAAGAGGGAATCGAATTTATCCATATTTTTATCTTGTTTTCATCAAACAACTTTCTTTCACTTCTTACCTTTTCCTCTCTCTCTCTTCATCTCTTTTCTTACATTCCTTCTGTCTTGGCAAACATTATCTTATAGATCTAACTGTTATTACTTTCAATCAAAAATCAATTATTTTTAAGTATGAAAAGAATGAAGCATGGGTTAGGTGTTTTATGAGGGCATGAATCTGGATTTAGGGATGGTGTTTGGTTATGGGAGGACAGAGGAAGGTTAGCTTAATTGGAGCAGCTGAGCAAGTAGGTAATATGATATTCTCGCAAGCACAAAGGCACATTCATGACAAAGGAATGAGATGAGTGAAGGAGTAATAAAATGAGTCCCACACTGCCAATCTGGAGGTCCGTATATTTTTTGGGGCTTGGGTGCAATGGAAGGTGGAAAGGGACAAATCATTGAGGTGATGATGGAGAGAGTAAAGTGAGAGACTTGCTGTCTGTCACTCTTGTATGTACAAGTTTTTTCAGTAGAATCACATAAGCAATGCGAGATTTACAGAGAGATATATATATATATATATATATGTATGTATGTATAAAGAAAAAAGAAATAATCGTATAAAGTGATGGTGATCATTGACTCAGAGTCACCTAAAATAGTACAATAGTGTGGAAGGAAGGAATTTTTGGTCAAAAAAAAACAAGAAGGAAGGGATTTGTATCTGGTACACTTACTTGTACAAGGTACTTCCCCCAACGACTTTGAAAATGAATATCATTGGAAAACGCACCCTTCAATTCCAGTTTAATCATTCACACTGTAGAATTTCATGAATTAGTGAATTACCCAACTCATCCTCCTAACCCATCTTTTCCTGTTCAATTATGACTTGAGTTCTCTTTTGAGTGCTTCTCAAGCTTTAATATTTGATGATTAAATTAACATAATTGAATCGTATTTCACTTGTTGTCATAAACAAGAATTATGCTAGGTATAAATGATAGCATAAGATTGAAATTTTAATAGAAGGAATATCTTTTTATTCCCTATACATAAGTATTCTCCTATCAGAATCAATTAATTCGATATATTATCATATACTAAATATGAACACTTTTCATCATAAAAATTCAAACTTTAATTTGTTATGTTATTCAGCTAATTAGTGGAAGAAATATAAAATGTAAGCAAGATGCTCTTCTTCAAAGTCCGTCAATTTAGAAAAATGGGCCTGCACTCGATTACCATGCTCTTGGTTTTGGTTTTTTTACACTCTCTCTGTGGACCTGAAGGTCCCCTATTTTTGGTCACTCCATGGGTTGAAGCCCGCGTCAAGAGACTAAAAACCAATACTGCTGGCCTTGGGTGAGTCTGTAATTCGTGTTTTTGTTATCTACCACCATCCTTTTCATTTTTCATTAGTGCTTTCATTTTTTTGGACTGAATTTCATTTTTCATTAATTTGTTCTCGAGTGAAATCAATTTGAGCCAACTTGTATATACATATATATAAATAATATCCTCATTAAACTAATTACTTAAATTTTAAGACATAATCGACTTGATAGAGATTAATTTGAGAGGCTCCACGCGCCGGCACCAGTTGTGAATTATCACTCTGTTTCTGTATGTTTGACGAGATAACATGCAACACGGAGCTAATAAATCCGAAAATTAAATGCATAACTTTCAGAGCGAAGATTACAGCACATAAATTCAACTTCCACTTTATTACGAAAGCTACATAAAGTTTAGAAAACTCTGAATAAGCTTAGAACGAGACACAAGAAATATGGAATTATTTATGTTAACAACAACCCCTGGAAAAGACTAGGATCCATATTGTGCTTTCATGCTGGTGGGATATTAATTATTATAACCTAGTCCTCCGAAGTACTGAGAAAGATCCAGATTGAGATTCTGGATAAGCTGCTCGACAAAAGCACCCACAACACCTCCAATTCCATGAGACAGAATGATCTGAGGATCGAGAAGAGGCTGATGTTGTCGGGGTGGCGGAGGATAATAAGGTGACGGCGATGAAGGAATGTAATAGGGCATTGCGTTTGCAGGCGGATATGGAAATGGCGGATATACAGCTAAAGACTGACTATAACGTGACGGTGCAGCTTGAAGGTTAGTATAACCTCCTGCCACCCATAACGGAACTCTTGGACCTCCAGGTGTCTGCAACTCAATTCAACAATATATATCAATTATAAAGTATATGTAGAGATGATTAGAACTAGTCAAATGAAATCATGTATATATAGCTCACGTTGGCATTTGCATTATTCTTCAACTCCAATCTCAGTTTTAGTTCACCTGCGCGGCTGCCAACGGACACTTTCATATCAGTTTCAGTTCTTTATATTTTGAAAATTCGAAACTCTTTATAGAGATCAGAGTTTGTATAATATGTTTTCATTTACCAGCTGGTATTTCCCTTTTGGAGGGCACAGGGGAACACTCACGGAACTTTGTTGAGGAACCGCGTCCAGTGGAATCCTAAAAGAAACATTACGTTATTATTAACTGATTGTAGTCCCTCAAAAACATGCATGATTCTAAAAGATCATTTGAAGGGTTCAGAAAAGTTGAGGTGGGAAAATAAATTTCTTTGCAGTGCCCACAATTTCATCGGGAGCGAAAGCCCTGTTCTTGGCAACAACAACGATGAGCTCCCTGGCGATTTCCGTGAGTTCTAAAATGATCTTATCCTGAAAACTTGGATTAATTCCCCCATCTGCAGCTTCAATTTAGGCAAAAGCCCAGGAAATAATGGGTTCTTAGTTCAATCTCTTACATATATAAGCCAATTGTAATAACATGTTTGATATACATACATATATATATATATATATATATATATATAACACTACTCACCTATATATGTGCTCTTGATCACAAACTCCTTGCTGCCATACTGGAGGCATAAGTACCACTCAGTTGGCCTCATAGCCGAATTTGTGTCGGAGGTAATGTTGCATTCTAGGACTTCACACACACGAATCACAAAATAAAATGTCAGTTTCCTCCAATACCTGCATATCCAAATCCATGAATATACAAGACGCCGAGAAACGCGAAGGTAGAGGAGGAGGAGGAGTAGGGTTATATTGTCGCAGTGTTGTACCATTAATCTGAAGCTCACGAGGGGGACCATGAAAGCCAGGGAACGACATGATGGAGAGGCATGCGAGAGATCGAAATTTTAATTCAATGATCTTAGAATATGATTTCTCAAGGGGTGCATTGTATATTTATACAACTACAACATTATTAAGAAGAATGGATCATGGATCAGCGTTGTTTGTAAACTATAAACAAAACCTAATAAATTAAAATTGTGTCACTTTTTTCCTCCACCACATTACCAAACATATTTTGCCATGCATTAAATAATTATACGCAGTAGTATACATTGAATAATTAGATTTTACCTTTGAAATGGATAATTGTTTGTGCTTATGAGTCTGCAATTATTGTTCTTGCAGGCTGTAAATATAAAGCTTCTAACAGTTCTTAAGAGAATATAAGACAACTTAATTACATTTAACAGATTATAAATTTTAATAAGAAAAAGCAACATCCATTTAGTAGTAGTTGTGCATTATATATAAATCCACTTACGTAGGAAAACCCAAAGGTTGATTTTGTTTACTTTCTGCGTTCCAAGTTCTAAATTTGTTTTTTTTTTTAATTTTTAATCATAGAAAGGAAGGGGGAAAGCTGGTTGCAACTTCTTGGTCGTACTAATTAATTTTGGTAGATGAGAAATGGTAGGCGAATATGATTTTATATATAATTTGCTTGTTGAGTTGTAATTTTATAATGTTACGTAAAGGAACTAGCTAGGGCATTTGGATAGGAAGCCAATTGTACAAGAGTATTGTGTTACTTGTGGCGCTTGACTCGACTCTGGGAGCTGTCGGTCCACTCGGATATTGTTATTGTAATATTCGTTGAAGAAACTGATGCCTCTCTTGCAATGCTCACGCCTTTTCATCTTTCCTTTCTTTGGATTTACATTTGATTTTAGTCAGTAAAAGATTAGCTTTTAAGCATTTAGTTATTTAGTTACATCTTAACTAAATCTGTATTTAGGGCTGAGCAATGGGCGGGGTGGGCTAACTCGAAGGTTAGTCCATAGCCCGCCCATTTATTCATAAATGGGCATGGGCTAACCCATAACCCAGTAGTAGCCCATTTAACCCATATTAAATGGGTTACGGGGCAGCCCATTTGGGCTAACCGGGTTACGGGGTAACCCATTTATTTTTTTTAAATTTTTTTCAGTATAGTTATTTTGTATATGTAACTTTATGACGCTGTCAATAAATTTTGCATGCCAAATAGCAAATCAAATATGAAATAACATCAATCATATTCAATCACACAACCTCACTTAGATTCGCAAACAATCAAAGTCTAATAAAATCATAAAAGTAGTCATCAATCATAAAGTCTCATAAATTTTGAAAGTTCCAACTTTCACCTAAAGGATAAAATAAAAGCTTAGACAAGCATGAATGTTTGATAAAAGATGAATGAGAAACAATATTATCAATTAAACGAAGAATAAAAATATTTTTAAAAAATTAAAACTTAAACGAGCGGGTATGGGCAGCCCAATACCTTGCCTATAGCCCAACCCGTTTAATGGGTTACCCTGTCCATTTAAGCCCGCCCGTTTATAATCTCTTATTTGGGCTAATTGGGCGGGCTTAAATGGGCAAAAATTTTATGGATCATGGGCGGGTTAGCGGGTAATGGGTTTGTTGCTCACCCCTATCTGTATTTGTGAGGTTTTAGCGTGTTAACAACTATGATCAGAGAAGAGGATTTCGCACATACAGTAAATAAACAAGGCGATGTGTGTGTTTTGTCTTCAGCGGCTCAGCCTGATCTCTACAAAGAAAACAATGCCTGAGACCCGATAAGACATTGTTAGAACAATCTGCATAGTACAATAAACTCTTTAAATTCCAAGAATATACAAGTCTCTGCAATATCCAACTTCAGGAGGTAACATTCACATCCATTTTTTCATTCTTTTGATTTTGCACGATTTGTTCACAATTCCGAACGTGTGATTAATCGCCCAGAACTTCTTTCGACTTTCAAGATAAAACAGCAGCCAATATTTACAGCAGTGAAAAATCATCTTGGAAATGCATGCATATATTCTGAAATCGCATTCGCTCCCATGTTCCTCATTGTCCGTCCTGAGTCCTCAGAGAAAGGCTAGTAATCAAGCAAAGTTGATTGTAGCAGCAGATCTCTGTTGGCCTCCCGTGCTTGAAGCTGGGGATCGCCTAAAAGCTTTTACTCCGAACGGGTTCTCTTTGCTCTGTTTCATTCATAGCAGCTCAACCCCATCAGTGAACTCATAAAAGCAAATATATACATCTAAGAGTGTTATGCAGTAGTAATACTTACGACTCTGCAAGTTCCAGTTCGGGTATCACAAACAGGATAATCAGAAGGACAGCAGCTAGAATGATCGTCACAGCATGTTGCAGATTCAAGAGGACAGCATCCCCATCCAAAGCAGAAGTTTTGGTACTGGTAGAGGCAGCAGCAAGTGGATCCAGAAGGACAAGAGTAGTAGTCGTCACATTGGGTTTCAGGCTTTGATGGAGACGGAGGGGAAGGCCCGGGATTTGGAGGGTTCTTACCCTTCTTTGTAGGGTACGATGCCTCCATTGCGATCCCGCACTTACCTGTCTTCCCACCTGCCACGTTCCTCTCCAGCTTTATGTAACCTTCTTCACCCCACTTTGGACCCCACGAGTTCCTCACTAACCAGTAATCTTTTCCATTCTCTGTTCCATATCCCACCGCCACCACTCCATGATCTAGCTGCGTTCCACATTGCCCTGTGAATACACCCTGCCAATATATTCCATTTCATTTTCAGCAAACACACTTCTTTAGAGACTGCTAATGGCAAGACGTGTTTAGAGTATGATTACCGAGTGATAAAGCTGAAATGCCCTGCCACCAGCTTCAATGGCGACACTAACTGGCTGGTTTGCAACAGCCTTCATCAAGGAAAGTTCATCGTTTTCTGGCACATCTTCGTATCCATCAATGGTGACGACTCGGGCATTTTTCTGAGAATCCAAACACAACATCTAATATTAGTATTAGAGCAGGTAGATGGCCTAGAAACTTGCAAATCAAAGTCTTACCCTGTTGGGATCGCATGCACCGTCGCGAGCACGGTAAGGGTAATCCTCTTCGGTATCAATGCCTCCATTGTTGACGATGAACTCAAAAGCATAGTCCATGAGACCTCCATTGCACCCCTGGTTGTAAGTTCTGTCACAATCCACCAGTTCTTGCTCTGACAGAGATATCAGGTCCCCAGTCACGATTTGATTGATCCCTTCCACCGCTCCAATCGTAGAGAATGACCAGCAACTCCCTTCATTTTTTGAGCCCCACACCATTAATAATCTCATTTAATGAAAACAGTGCCCGCCTACTTAATGCAGATTTTCTTATCTAATCATCTACTAAAGCATGACAAGTTTTACTAAATGACAGTGCTTTGTATAAAACTTTTTTTTTTTTAACCCAAAAAATTCTTAAAAGGTGTCCTTAACAGTTTTATCGGAATATGTCCTCTGATAGGACCACGTTTGGCAAAAATGCGCCGGTTCTATCGGAATATATCCACAAGTAAGTCCAACGCAGGATCTTGATCCAGAAACCGACAAGAAAAGGAGACATTTAGATATGGACTAACCGCATTGGCCTTGATCTTTAACTGGAACAACGGCGCCCTTGGCTCTCCAATCCACGGTGTCAGGCAACTGGTCGCCGGCACGGTAGGCGTACCGATCGCTCCTCCTTGAGCCGGAGAGCAGTCGCGTGGATCGGTTCATCTTGGCTCCCAGATACATGGACCGGAACTCGTCGTTGGTGAGATCAGCGAAACGGGTGAGACCGAGGTTGAAGGACCGGTTCTCCACCATGTTGTGCTCGTCGATGAAGTTGAGGTTATCCTTAAAGATCTGAAACCTCCTCTCCTTCTCTCCCAGAGCATTGTAGGCTTTGCCATGCCTGACGAGCCAGGACTCGTACATGTTCCTCACCTGCCTTTCGTCTCTGAGAGCACCTTTGGGCAAGTGCTTTGCGTCATAGTCGATGATGGACATGTCCAGAGCAGAGCCGAGAGCCAAGAAGGAGAGAAGAAGGAGAAAGAGACACAAGGACGCTGATGTTAGAGAGGACGCCATTGTTGTATGTAGTTGATTGTGGAGGGAATTGAGAGAAGTTTGGGAGAATTTATAAAAGGAGAAGGAGGTCAGCGAGATGATGTGATCAGAAGAAAGAGGTGGCAGATTGGTTAGCGAAGAACAGATTGGTTAGCGAAGAACAGAAAGAGCAATGAAATAGGAGCTCGTATCTGTAACTCAGGTCAAATTGTTCATCATCCGAAGACCATGAGGTGGGATTTACCCTAAATTCGGGTTTTCGTTCCTTTCCCAACTTCTCCCGATCTCGCCATATATATTTTGAATTTTGTCTTTCAATAACCAATATATATATTTTAAAATTTTCTGGCTATCGTGATAATAAATTATTTATAATTGTAATTCGCATCCAAAATATTTGAATTTGATATCATTCCAATAACAAACGCAATCTTATATATATGGTTAGATTATATCAGTTAGCTATTTTATAATATAATTTACATTATAAAATAGGTTTTATTTATGATTGGAGTATATCTTCTGTCATCTATAATTATCAATTTGTTTTCAAGTCAAAATCTTCCAAAGGCTAACTTTCATCTATCATACATTCATACTACTTTCAGAATTCTTTTTTTTTTTTTTGGTTTTTGACCTGAATTTACTTTCAGATTCGTTCAATCCCATATGTTTTTTCAGCAAACATATGTACTTTATTTATTATTATCAAGTCTTCCCTCTGTGTTTGTTTGATTAAAAAATAAAATAGCTAAAATTGAAAAAATCTTTCTAAAATGAAATTAAAGGAAAAACAAGTAGAGTTGTTGTTTTTGTTTTTTTAACATTACATTACACAAAACGTTTGTTTTACAAAATTATTTGATATTAAAATATAATAACATGATAATATATCTTTATCAAATAATTTGATTTTAAATTATATGATTATGTTAATGTAAATATGGTTTTTCATTATGACATTTAATTTGATCTTAATCAAGATATATTTTGATATAACAGAAAGGGTATTTTAGTCATTCATATATTTACCTGTTTTTTTAATTCTATTTTCTCTTGTCCATCTAAACATGAGAGATGATAATATTTTCTCTCTAATTTTCTATTCTCTCCATTTTCTCTCCTCTCATTTTCTTTCCTCTCAACTTTTCTTCCCATCCAAACAGAAGGTAAATGTTATTAAGCTCAAAAATTAATGGGTTAGTGGATTATAAGTACAGGGATTAATATCTATAATTGAGAAGGTCCCCAAAAAAAATCTACAAAGACATAATTAAAAATCAAATAAAATTATAGAGACTTGCAAATTAATTTTTCCTAATTTTTGAATAGAAAAATTATACAGAGGTCTCAAGTAAGTAAATATAAAATATGTCTCCCAGATTTCATTTAATATTAACAGGTTTTAAAGAATTTAATATTTACAAATGAAGTTAAATTACTTATAAGTCTTATTTCTGTCAAATCACATTATTTATAAGTCAAGTGCTCTTACATTATTAAGTCAAAGTTGCATCTTTTATAAATTGAATGTTAAATCACTTGGAACATATCGGTATTAAATGAAATTCAAGAAATATATCTATATCTAATTATATGCTCTTTTTTTTTTTTTTACTTGAGACTTATTTTTAAAATAATAAAGATAACAAAGCTAACTAGGTAGAAGAAGTAATGACAAGACTGTCTCTTCCAGAAGCTTCCAACTCTAATTAAAAGCACATGATTGCGTGATTGATGACCTGGCATGAACAGAGGCATTGAATGATCCATCAACATGTCTCATGCGCTATTAATATTTGTCATCTTATTTATAGCAGTACCCCCATCAAATGAGCTTATATTAATGGGGGTACTAATATGCCACTATTAACTAATCTATTCTTCCGGAATCTGCCCAGTGCATAGACAGTGCAGTACAAATTAAAACTTCAAGATTCATGAAATGAGAAAATGGGATTGAACCACTCGTATTTCACTGAGCTCTTCAGTTTGCTTACAGACAAATGTCCAGTTGAGAGAACAAAGTGCGGGAGCCCGCTGTCACAGAAGACAAAAGAAAAGAAAAGAGGATTTAAAATAAAAGGTGAAAAAAAACATGAAGGTGAAAACTCTGTTTTGGAATTTGGCAGAAGAAAAAACAAAGAAAACTCTGTTTTGGAACAACGCAACCTTCGAATTCAACCCGTATCTAGAAGTACATGTACTGTATACCTCGTCACACCAGCCATTTTTGTTGGGCAAAATGGCTCTATTTACGCAGCAAGTTTTTAACTTTGTTAGGCGCGAATGATGTACAATGATCACATGCCACCAGCGACATCGTTTAATGGACTGCTCGCCCCATCCATATGTCTCTGTCTCTCCTTTATTTTCAGCTTCCATGAAAATTTAAGGTGTGCATGCGTCATGTCTCCACCTCACGAGTGTGTTTTTTTTCCTTCTTAACAGAACTGCATCCTTAACAGTTGGATCCTTTCTTCCTCTCGTATGATTATAGTACACGTCGGAGTTGTTGACTGCAGCTTGCAAATGATAGTAACTGGGGAATTTGTGTGCAAAAGTTCGTGACAAACTATTTTTGTCGTCTTCCTTGAACCAGAGGCCCAGTGAAGCGAAGATTTTTCCGCAGAGCTCTACTTGAAGATCACTGGCATTTTATCAGCCATGGAGTAGCCCAAATTTTCTTTTTAAGTCAAGTCAATCCACATTGTCGGTGCGTGCATGTGTTTTGTTTAGTAGCATGAAGCATCTTTAGTGTTAAAGTTGAGAGCTTTAGGGAGGGGGTCTACCATGAAGGATGCCTCGTAGACAATAAAACGTCGTCAGCAGAAGGGAAAAAGGGCAAGGCACTATATCTCTTTTTTTTTTTTTTTGGCTGTGGATGGATCATTTATGGTTGTATTGATCGTCCTGACTTTTCAACCTGTACGATCAAGACACATTTTCTTGTTCCTTATATATTTGATCTCTCACCCGACCCTCAAGTGTCACTGCTCACAAATCCTAATTTCCTGTCCCTCTGAAAGCTGAAGATGGGTAACATCTCTGAGTGTGTTCTATTGTTGATACTTGCAATCCTGATTCATTCTTCATATTCTCATGAGCCGACCAGTTCGAAACGAGAAGCTTTGGAAATTATCATAGGAGGAGGCGGCCATACTGGTAATGCTACTGCTCCTTCCCCAGGATGTGGAGAATGTCAAGCTCCTCCGCCTCCTCCTCCTCCACCCACACCAGGTCCACCTCCGTCCCCTCCTCCTCCGCCGCCCCCTCATCCTCCGGCCCCTCCGCCGTCCCCTCCTCCTCCTGCACCCAAACCATCCCCGCCTCCTCGCCCTCCTCCTCTTCCGCCCCCTGCTCCTCCTGCACCCAAACCATCCCCGCCCCCTCTTCCTCCTCCTCCTCCTCCCGCACCCAAACCATGCCCGCTTCCTCCGCCGCCCCCTCCTCCTGCTCCGAAACCATGCCCGCCCCCTCCTCCTCCTCCTCCGCCACCTCTCCTCCCGCACCCAAACCATGCCCACTTCCTCCGCCGCCCCCTCCCCCTGCTCCCAAACCATGCCCGCCTCCTCTCCCCCCTCCTTCACCACCTCCACCGCCACCTCCTCCTCCTCCACCTCCGCCGCCACCTCCTCCTTCTCCTCGCCGTGTATCAGAGGAACCCAGGTTGAAGAAAGCGAAAGCTGTGCTTCTAAAATTCAAGCAGACCATCTGCGACCCGCAAGGGCGAACGTCAAACTGGAAGAAGTCCACCTATGTATGTAAATTCAACGGCGTCCGTTGCGCCCAATATCCGCTTGATAAACAGAAAGCAGTCGCCGGACTGGACTTTAACGGCTATGCATTCTCGGCGCTGCAGAAAGACAAACAACTGGACCTCTTCGGGATCTTGGCCCCGATCGAAGAGTTAGCATTCTTCCACGTGAACTCCAACAATTTCAGCGGCCAGGTCCCACCACGAATCTCCATGTTCCCATTTTTCTACGAGCTCGACCTCAGCAACAACAAGATTTCCGGTGAGTTCCCAAAAGAGGTCTTTCAGTCGCAACAGCTTCTGTTCCTGGATCTCAGGTTCAACGAACTCTACGGCTCGATTCCGCCGCAGCTCTTTAAGTTGCAACTAGACGTCATCTTCATCAACAACAACCAGCTCACCGGAAGCCTTCCCGAGGAATTCGGATGGACGCCGGCCAGGTATCTCACATTCGCCAACAACAAGTTATCCGGTCCAATCCCCAGTAGTATCGGTAAAGCCACGAACATCACTGAAGTGCTGTTCTTGGGGAATCAGTTTTCTGGTTGTTTACCTTATGAGATTGGGTTCCTCGCAAAGGCTACGGTCTTTGATGTGAGCAAGAATTGGTTGACTGGTCCAATCCCACACTCCTTCGCCTGCCTAGATAAGATTCAGTTCTTGAATTTGGCCGATAATCAATTCTACGGGCCCGTTCCGGAGTCCTTGTGCAAGCTTCCGGAGCTCCTAAAGGGTAGCGGTGGGAATTTGACGCTGTCGGGCAATTATTTTACCCAGGTGGGTCCCGAATGCAGGAAGCTGATAGACGCCAAAGTGCTGGATGTGCGTCGAAATTGCATTCTGGGACTTCCCGATCAGAGAACAGCAGCTGAGTGTACCAAGTTTTTCTCCAAGGTTAAGCCATGTCCGAACCCCAAGACTTTGAACATCGTGCCTTGTAACAAGAATTATGAGAGCTACAAGGAGGCGGTGCCGGGACCAGCAGCGGTCGCTTCGCCGCCGACACCGGTGACCTACAAAACCCTCAAACCCCATCGCTTGTCAATGACTCCTTGACTATACGAGGGACTTCTAATTACTGTCGTCTTTTAATTGTTAATCATATGCATATTTGCACAGAATCTCTCTTTAATTTCGGTTTTCATCAGCCCACTTGTATAATAGGGCAATGAATAAACTTGAAAGTGTACTGTTATGTGTGGTCCGATTTGGCATGGCAGATTGTTACGTTAGTATAAAATAAGATGTGATCTTGATATTGTTATTCGTGCCATAAAAATACTTCTATATATAGATTCTTTAACTTATTACTGAAAAGGTGGGTTTAGTTTGTACCCATACTTGGTGAGTGCTAAGCTTAACTGAGGGTAATTCTATCGGGGTTATAATGACGCACTTTCACTGCTGTTCTTATTGGAAGATTAGTTAAAGGGATTAAACTGAGGAGGAGAAAGATATTAAATGGCGCTGGTGAATAAAAATGAAGGTCGTTGGAGAAAAGTGCAACAACAATAAAAGAGAGGGCAATGCATGGAGGGAAGATCAGAGTGATCTGGAAAAGTGAACGAGAACGTTGTCGTCATTTATTTGTCGGCATCACTGTGCGTGGTAGAAAAATGGACCACTTTTTGGGTCTCGCCACGCACAAAGCCACAAACATTGCCTCCTTTTTTCGTAGCACTCTGTCTCTGTATATTCAAGTTATCTGGCTCTAATGTATGTTACTTATGTCCTACTTTCACATATCAAAAAATATATATTAAATTCATATAAAAATTTCATATTTATCCCTGTTAAAAAGATATTTAAAAAAATATACCGCACAATTTCTCTTGCCTATTTTTTTAATTGTATTCAATAGGTAGAACTGGGGGGGGAGTGATTAATTATCCTATAAATAAATGACTTATATTTAAAAATAAATTTTTCTTTTACAGAAGTGGGATATGGTATAGTGGAATAAAATATGTTGCACATATGGTTGTTAGAACATAGGGTCCTGAATCAAAATTGACACGTGGGGACCATGTATAAATTACGAGAAGCTCATAATAATCATTCCCACCGCTGTCCTCAAAAGAAAAAGGCAAAAAAGATGAAGGATGTTGACCAATCGGATAGTCTCCTCGTTGATACGAAAGACCTCTAAAATGAATCTGCTTCGTCGGTGGCTCAGTTTCACTGCGCGTCCCATGATGACCCTGCTTTTTTGCTTTACTTAAATCACATGAACGTTTTGCTCGAGTTATTGTAAAGAAATATACTGAAAAGTAGAAGGGAGGGCAATCATGAGGCCATATATTATTAATTCTTTCATGTGAGCCAATCAAAATCACAGTGCTGTCGGGTTTCTTGTTAGCCTTATTTTCTCATCCCCTGCATGCACTCTCTTCTTCGTGTTAATGTAAGAGATAGGAAGTTGAATTATGTGCCTCTGCATATCATACTATTTATAAGTACTCTGGTAAATAATACTACCTCCAAAATCTTATATGATTTTTATTTTAATCATAAATATAAGATTCTAATCTATTTTGTCTCTCATATTTATACATTTTTTTTCCAAAATAGCCTTTCTAACAATGATAGTTCTAGTCAATACACTTGATTAGCAAGGATATTTTACGAAAGACAACACCTATTTAAGACAAATAACTAACTCAAGTTACTTCTTTAATCTCCTCAAATTATTTAACTAGTTTTTATAATTAGGATCGGAGGTAATAATATGGTTTTATGTTAATTATTTAACTAGATGAGTATATGAGTATTACTTCCTCCATTTTCATTTTATAAAAATTGAGTGACGTGATGGAAGGTTCCATAGCATAAGATGCTTCCAGAAAAATATAAAAATTTTGAGTGATGTGATGGTAGGTTCCATAGTATAAGATGTTTAGAGAAAAATACGCATTCATTAATGAAGTTTATTCCAAAATCATCTTTTATTATTTTACTCATTAAATATCCCTTTCTCTCCCCCCACCCCAACCCAAAATGTCCTATTAAATGAAGGGTGTTTCTGAAGGTTTATTTTTTAAAAGAATTTTTAAATTATATTTAATTGACCTAATTCGTATTGACAAATAACAGTTATACCAAAAAAACCCACTGACGGGATATGATGGAGGGAGGGAGTACACACATGGAAACTTGGAAAGGGAACGGGTTTCGGGCCCAAACAAGATCCAATTAAATGCTATGCGCAGCCCCGCTTTAATAGTTTCATTCATACCAATGTGCCGCCAATAACCCCGGGGTCGCAATTCGCACATCTTGTTCACCTTTTTTTTTTTTGGTGGTTAGTCTGCATTTTATTAAAAATCTATGTCACAACTATTACTGTCCACCAACGGGGTTGGTTCAAGTGGTAAGCGGCTTGGTACCACTTAAGTGAGATCTCGAATTCGAGTGTCAATGTATGTAGAAATTCCTGTTGGGAGACTCACTCATCACAGCTAAGTACGCGACGCGGGTCAGATATAGATGTAGTCAGAGTAAAACTCCGATGAACTGCGTGGTCAACAAAAAAAAAACTATTACTGTCCTTTTTACTTCTAACTCATTTTTATATATATAAATGCATTAAATTAATAAAAAAATTTAATTTTATTCTCATTAAAGCTTTCTTTTTCTCTATGTTTGTGAATCATTCTCAAGTCTTTCACTTTTTTTCCTAATAAGAATTAAATAATAATAATAAAATTGAAAAATAAGTATTAGGCATACTATAATTAACTTACATTTAAAAACCTATAAGTGATTATTTAAATTTAGAACCGGTGTGGTAGCATCTAGCTAGTATTTATTTGGAGTGTAAACATAATTTTCATTATCATATTTCTTATTCTGTTTATTACGTAACAAATGTAACTCGATGTTTTTGCCAGCGATAAATATAACTCAGTTAAAAATTGGCAAAAAAAATATATAACTCAATTAAAATTTTTATGACCAAATGATTTTAAATTTTCTATATATGATACTAAGAACCATTTTGATGCCATTTTTCACGACGTTATTCCCAACTTAATTATTTTGTTTTTTAAGCCAGTCTTTTTGTTTGTTTCCTAATATATTTAGATAAAAAATATTAAAGGCAGAAATTACGTAAGACAGCGAAAACTGCGTTCAAAGTATGATAATTGTAAATTTATTCAAGCTTCTGCACTGGAGATGTATTTTATTATCATACAAATATCATTTTAATATCTTCAATCGGGATATATTTCAATTTCATTTAAAAGCGATTGATTTAATTATTAAAATATTTATAATAATAATAAAAAAAACGGATGCTCCATTATTGGAGCGCTTGTCGCAGCTCTCCAAAGGCGCACGATCTTGTTTCCTTTACCAAAGGGAGCACCAAGTGCATAAAAGCTAAATCGTGTGTCCCAAAAATTATTTAAAAAAATTAAGCCGGTGATTAGGATTAAAAGAATTTTTTTTTTAACATAAAATTTAGATGAGTTGGGTCCCAGGACTACACCTGAGTTAGGACATGTCTCTTTTTTTTAATATGTCTGCTACCTTTTTTTAAAAAAATAATTATTTGACTCCTTGCCATTAAGCCCAATAACAAATTACATGGTGGGTTTATTATATGGACTACATAGGCCCACCCGCTTTTAGAAAGCATTCGTCGGGGGTTAGAAGATCCAAAGTATATTACATATTTACGTCTTAATAAATGAACAGAAAATACTGAGCTGCAAGAAGAAGAGGTCTGGAGTTTGGAGACTGTTCAACATATAACCTGCTGCTTCCATTCTTTATTATAAGAGACAAATAACCAAATTACGTTGATAAAAAAAACAGTTAAAATTAGTTGAAGACAATTAATGTGTAAAAAGTATAATGTTTTTTCCAACAATACCCCCATTAACAAGAAGAGTGAGTATGAGAGAGAACAATTAAATTATTAAAAGAAAGAAAAGTGGGAAGGAAAGAGAATATGAGTTGGAGACAAAATAGATAGAGGTAAAATAGAAAATCAATAAAAAAAAATAGAGACAACTTTTAAGTGTCTCTTATATATGGAAACATGCCATAAGCATCAAATATCTCTTATAATAAAGAACGGAGGGAGTATCATTTAGGGGGTGTTTGGCAACCCTCAAAAGTCCTTCCCAGAAGTACTTTTCCACAAAACGAGACAAACTCCTCCACATATTTGCTTCGCAAACCGTAAAAACAATTTTAAAACTATGGTTTGGTTTCTATCCAAACACCCTCTTAATTTAATAAAAATTCCGTGTTTTAATAGTCCGGATGAGCAACACATGCCTTTAAATTAATTAAAAGTTCTAAATGATACTACATCAATTAGGTGCATAAGACATATATAGGCCAGACTTACCAACTTATTGGTATTTAATGATTGGTTTGTTAGGTCGTTAACTCCCGAATGCCATTGCCCTAACCACATTCGTCCCAAGTTGTTAGTCGTGTGTCCACAGTCCACGTTTGGATTTTCTACATGGTTCACCTACACCAACCCACACCTCATAAAAAAGTTACTCAATCCGATTCACAATATCAGTCGTTCTGAGAAGAATGACTCAATTTAAAAGAAACAAATTACTTTTGATATTCTTTCTAAATTATCAGAGCAACGGGAAAGATTTTAAGCGTCGGCCTATTGGGTACAGGTTAGCATTACCTTTGGGCTGAAATAAACACACGTGGCAACGGCATGGCACCGACACTATTAGTTTTTTTTTTTGGGGGGGGGATTTATTTATGGCGTCCACCGGAGTACAGTTTTCTGCATCAGATCCACGTGACCGTAGAAATCACAGTGGTTGAAGAGGCCAATAGGGTGGCGACACGTGGATAGACGCCGTGTCTTGTCCGAGCCACGCGTGATGACCCAATGATTGACTCGCCAAGTTTTCATAGCACCCAAAAAAAATCTTACCACGATGCCAAACCATCGGCGGATTCAGGCCACTCACACCGACGCATCATCCGTCATTTGTAGGTGTTGACTACTGCGGAGAGAATTTCACCGTGGCGTGTTTAAAGCAAAGCAAGAAAGAGAGAAAATGAAAATTCGAATTTGAATATTCAGCTCTACTCTCTTTGTCCTCTTCTCTCCCACGCGCCCTTCCACTCCCGGCTCCCGCCTCGTACACGAGTCAAATGTTTCCCACATCTATGGATCCATGCAGCTTTCAATTTTCAATTTTTCACCCCTCATTTCTTTCTCCTCACATTGTTCCTTATCTCTCCCCGAGAATCACAGTTTCTCCCACAATTTACCCACAACAATAAGTTGAACCCTGAGAATTTTGAAATCCCACAGTCTGATTTTTCTTTGGTGCCCTGTGGCTTTTGGAATTGCAGGGTTTAAAAAAACGAAAGGGTAACCATTATCAGTAACTCCGAATTATATATATTACACTTCACTGTTATAAAATTAATCAAAAAAAAAAAAACAGGAAAACATTATTTTACAGATTCTCAGAAGTTAATCGTCTTCTTCGCCTTCCGACGGCAGTGACAATGAGGTTACTGGAGAGCTCGAATTTCTACAAAATCCGGAACCGTTGTCACTCTCGCTCCCACTTTCCACCACGAAATGCCCCAACACGTCCACCGTCCCCACCAAATTCTCTTGGCACAGAAACTCATCGCTGAAAATCCTCTCCACTTCTCTGTAAAGATCGTGCACGAAAACATGCGTTCTCCCTCTCTCGCCGCCGACGCTGCCTTTCTTGCTCCTCGCCAGAACAGCCGCTGTGAAAATCGCCGACATCCTCCCCGGAGACGCCCCAGAATACCCCCGTGGCCCGTCCACCAGAATCACATCCCACGGGATTTGGTATATATGGTTGGGCAAATCGTTGATTCCAAGCTTGCACTCCGAGAACAAGAGATTCTGCACGGGTCTGCAATCGCTTTTCGACTGGGCCTTCGCGAGTGAAAGAAGCTGAGGGTAATCGCTCACCTTGGTGGTGAACTGAACATCATAAGCTTCAATTCCAGGATTGGACTGCTCGAATTTTGAGATCGCATATTCATTCTCATCGAGAAACACCGTGCGGCCATGGTGATTGAGGGCGGACCAGAGGAGGGACTCGGGAGTTAGGCCGAATATGAGAAAATTGGGAGCAGGCGTTTCAAACAAAGCAGAGGAGATGGCGGAGAGCTCGGCGGCGGACATGGATTTGGCGCTGTCGTTGGAGGCAGCGGCATAGTGGAGGAGAGCTTTGGCAACGGAGGGGGGAAGAGAGGCGGTGGAGGAAGAGGCGGAGACGGAGGAGGAGGAGTGGGTGAGGGTGAAGGTGGTGGTACGGAGGGTGAGAATGAAGAGGAAGGAGAAGAAGGTGAAGAAGAAGAGACGGCGGAGGCGATGGGAAGGGAGTAAAAAAGGTGAAGACTGTTTGTGAAGAGAAGAATGAAAAAGAATGAGCTTGGTGTTGGTGTTGGTGTTGGTGTTGGCCTTCATTGCTTCGTGTGAGAGGTAGGGAGATTCGGGAGGGCGTGTGGGGTGATATATGAGGAGAAGAGGTATGGAGGAAGATGAAGAGTGGAAGGTTGGGAACTTCACAGAAGAGAGAAGGAGGAAGGAACAGAGAAATGGTGGAAGAGATTGAGAAGATCACGAATCTCTAGGCAGGGGTCATGCGAGCTGTAAATTGACCTGGGTCCCTTATCTCTTCCACTTCCTTCTTCATTTTTTTTAAAATTTTTTTGGGATGCTGAAACCTGTAGCCAAGCCAATTACTAATCACGTTCTACTTTCCTATCATCCTCTCCTTTACAAACTTTGAATTAAAGACCTGCTCATCGTGACTTTTCATTCATTACTCTACCATAGCACATACTATAATACTGCCTCCTCCGATACTAATTATAAAAATCAGTTGACTAATTTAAAGAGATTAAAAAAATAAATTAAGTTAGTTATTCATCCTAAATAAATGTTGTCTTTCCTAAAATATCCTTACTAATCAAGTGTATTGATTAGAACTATAATTATTAGAAGGACTATTTTAGAAAAAAAATTGAATAAATATGAGAGACAAAGTGGATTGGGGTCTTATATTTAGGACCAAAATAAAAATCAAATGGGGTCTTATATTAAAGACGGAGGTAGTACTATTATTATATTTTTTATCGGATGTGGTTTATTTTATAAAATAATACTAATTCAAATAAATTAATTTACCACAATAAGGAAGAAAGTTTAAAAAAAAAGAAAGGAAAGGACATAGAAAATGTAAAATTAATAACATTCATGAATCTCCGGACTTATTTTAATAAATTAACGGTTCCATTTACTGATTCGTTGCTATATATGAACAGGTATACCGGCAGTATACATGGTCGGAGAGGATGGTCGTTTCTTTTTGTAATGGATAGCAAGCAGTGTTGTGTTTGTGCTAATGAATTTAGCATACCGAATCAACGATTCATCATGAAAAGAATTAATACGGAAACAAGTGATAACGAATTGAAGCAAATATGTTACATGAATTTATGTGGATATTTAATTGGGTTTTTGGATGTGAAATGGGTTGTCGTTTTCATGGGCAGTTAGGGGGGAGTGAATAGTGATAGATAGAATCATAGAATAGAACAGAGAAGGGGCTTATATTGAAGGTTGAATGACGTAGGGAAGGGAATCTAGGGAAGACGTAGAGCTGTCGAAGCTGTTGATAAATAAATTCAGCACTCGCCTGCTCGAGAAGGCAATATGATATACCCATAGATAATGTATTCCTTCCAGAAGGACGTCAATACACAGACGCGTTTCACATTTTGCCGTCTCGTGTCCGTTTTTACCTAAGCTTCACGCGACAGAAGAAGCAGCCATCCATGATCTGCAATAGCTGGCTTTTTCCATGTTTAACAGCAGCATTTAAACTCTACCAGGCTTTGGACTTTCTTTCGTGTGCTAACTAACTCTTGTCCTTAAATATAAACGCTGGATAACTAATTTAAAAATATTACTAAAATTAGTTAAGCTTGTTATTTATCACAAATATGTGTTGATGATCTTCCTAAACTATCTTCTTCAATAATATGTATTGGATGATTAGAATTATCCTTTGATATGGATTATTTACAATTAATAGATATATTTTAGAACAAGATGTGAGATAAATTGAATTGAAACCTTATATTTAGGATTAAATACAATTCCTAACTACCTCTTATATTAAATATCGAATGTAGTAGTTCTTTTAGCCATAGATGACTGAGTCGGGGAAGATTAATAGGACATAAGTATTACCTTATAGAAGAGATGGGTGAATGAAAGGGTTAACATTTTTTTCCTCAGGGGTAAGAGTTTTGATTGCATGGAGAGATGGAGTAATGGATTTGGGATTAATTATAGCATTTAGTAAAACCTGAGAGAGACGTTGATATTCATCCACACACAAGTAATGACTAATCTGATAAGATTAAGAAAATTAGGTAAATTAGTTAATTATAAGAAATATGACATATTTTTCCTAAAATACCATAATAATCTTTCTTAATATTCTTCCTCCTTCACTTACTTAATTATAGTTGAGGGAGTATCCATAAGAATAATTTAGAAAAAATTGATAAATATGATAAACATACCTCATATTTAAGACTAAAATTAACCTAATAATTAGATCCTATATTAAAAAGTTAAAGAGTACATGTGAATTGTTTGTGACGTGTGGGTTGGGGTTTGGGGGAAGTTGGGATGTTGATGATCATCCCATACTAACATAAGTATTGCTGATCAAATGAAAATATGACACATTCAATGGGAAAAGTTTCAAAAAAAAAAAAAAAGCTGATAGTCGACTGGCAATAAATCACCACATAAAAACTGACGAAAATAATTATAGGAGACATTAAAAATTAATTAAAAGAAAATTAAAGAACCGCACAATTCAAATAGATTTAATATATTTATATTTGTGCAACACCATGATGAAGTTCCGAAGTTATAATTTCGGGGAGGAAAAAAAACATGAACGCTAAATAACACAAAATACGCAATCAGGGACATGAAAAGAGAAAAATTATGTTGTGATGAAGGATAGAATCAGCTAAAACAATGTATGGATGAAATGAATCATGCCTGAAGAATAAAAAATAATGTGAACGAGGGAGTGAGAGATTGAAGGGTAGGCAGGAGGATGAGGAAGGGGCATAATTGGAGCAGATCAACAAAAAGGCAACGGTGTCCGCTCCTGCCTTAACTTTGGTGCATCGTCATCATGCCATCTCTATACATAAATCTATTTGCAGCCTTCCTTCTAATTTCTCACTCTAATATTATTTCAAAGCGCACACAGCAGATATCATGCTTCATCATGACACCAAAACCCACCCCAATCCTCAATCTAACTTGGCATATATATTGCCCGCATTTCCATTTTCTATCCCCAACTCAATCAAACCTTATCTTTTACTTTTATGTTTCTTTTCCTGTACGGTTCGCTGGTGCTAAGATGTACTATCTCCAGTCCTAATTATAAGACCTTATTTATAAACTACAGAGAGGATTTTATAATTAGAATTGGAGGCAATATCTAATTTCCTGAAATGTTTTTTTTAGTAACACTTAATATCTTAAATTTATTATATTTTTTTATACATGTAGCATTTTAAAATATTTTTCAACAGTAACCGTTATTCTAACGTGATCTGTAACGCAATTTTATCCTTAAAATATTTATTTAGTTGCAACAAAACCTTAAATTTGAGACATTCAGTGCTGCTGAAAAAAAAAGTTTGAAATAATTGCGTGAAAGAAATTTTACCTTGTAAAATGTAAAAGTAATTTTTGGATCACTTTCCAAACATACGATAGGGAGCTGAGCCTTTTAAGTTCATTAAGATGAGAGCAATGTCCTAAAGATTTATAAATTACGTGTCAATCATAACTAAAAAGAGGATTCAAACTGAAATTATTGTAAAGTATGAGTCACGTCTTTATCAACCATGCCAACGGTATTGCCTTTTGTACATTCCATGTCGCATAATATCATATAATTAATCTTTCTTAAGTGGCAAACAAGCTGCTAATATAGCGTGATTACAGCCAGGTTTGAGTTTCTCTGTTAGTTACATATAATTATTGGCATGCCACTCTATCAAGAGGCAACTTTGACATAAAGCAAAGTACTTGGTACTGTTTATCGATTATTAATCAAACATTGAATCCCTTGTTTTTCGGTTATCCAATAAAGCTGGCTTTTCCCAAGCACTATGCCCTTTTTAAATTCAAGCAGTGCCTTTTCCCTCCACTAGAAAATCATACTCACAACTCATCACTTTGCTTTGCCTGGTCAAGGGCCTTTGTAATGGCGGTTGGTTATATGCTTTAATTTATTGCAGGTTTTCTTCAGTATCAACGCATTCATCATTATTAGAGTTAATCAATTGTAAATAGTTAATGTTTAGTACGGTTCATAATTATGCTCACTTGTCCTTAATCACCTACCCATATTATTCTCTTGTACGACTATAATATGCCTCTTCATCATGATGCTGCTTCCTCCTTAATTCCACCTAACTTAATTATCAGTATCCAATTCAACTAAACTTCTATAGTTGCGTTCAAAACATTTGATTTAGTGATTTCTTACACCCTCTCAGGCACAGATTAATCGCTTCAATACAGTCAGAGATTAAAGTGATTTTCCTGAACCCCTTGGCCCAACACAAATTCAGGCCGTGTATGAATCCAATCAATCCTGCAATTGCCGGTGGAACCACAGTGAGTTTACAGCTGAAACCACGACCATTATTTTCATGCGGGTCATCTTCGTTTTCTTTCTTCTCAAAACGAATGAGATTTGATTTTTTTCACTACTAGCTTCAACCCCGGCCGTGCACCTGTGTGGGAGTATAATTTTCATCCAAAACTTGTGGTGACATTGAAATAAATTAATCACTTTGTTTAAAATTAAAAAAAAAAAAAGAATTGTGTTTGCAAATAGCGTAGCACAGCAATCCTAGTTTATTTGAGATACCATCAACGCCGTTGGCAATCTCCAATTATTGACGATCCCCAGAAATTTGCCGACCTCCAAAGCATATTCGTGTACGTTAGGAGATTGCACTTCCAAGAATTTTTGCCAATTTATTATCCCTATTCCCGCCATTGGGTTGACTAAACAGTTTCTTTACTTTTGGCAAAGCAAACCCCCCCCCCCCAAAAAAAAGAAGATGTAAGGATTTTAAATGCATTAAATTTACTCAGACAATCAGATATACAATTGCATTAATGATCTGCTGGGAGAGATTTGCCCCCCTCCCCCCCAATTTTCTCTTCTAATCTAATGGATTCAATCCTGATTAGGTGGAATCCAATGCTAAATTTTTTTTAAAATTATCCATACTGTATAGAAGTTTTTAAATTTTAGTTTTTTTTTTCACAAGTTAAACTTGTAAATTACATAATTTAACTTATAAATATGAATTTTTTTAGGAATATGCCATATGCGCTCTATCTTCAAATCAATCATTGAATTCGCGGCCATTCCTTCCTTCATGTTCTGCTTCCACCATCATGCATCAGAGAGTGGTTTCTTACATTCTGCTGTAATCCTCCTTTTTGCCTGTATCTGCTTTTTCATCTTCCACCCTGGCAACATTCTTCTTTCGCATATGTATAAAAGACAAATGCTATTTTCACCCTTAACTTATCCATCCCTCATTAGTCAATTAATCACATTAATTATCTCTCCATCATACTTTATTCATTGTATTTTTCATCCAATAGTACTCAAACAACAAATTTCACCCCTCAAAAAATGTTATTCCCAAGCCAAACCTCATAATTTGGTTCATAGATTAGCAGATAGAGATGGAGACAATAGATGAGTGGATTTTATATTGAATTGTTGATTTAGCAGTAGTTACTTGGCAGTGCAGTTACAGTACAGTGACAGTGGAGAAAAATACATTCAAATTTCAAATGAAATTTCTCTAAAGTTTCTGTTTTTCTGATGATGAGATCATTTGATAATACACACATGACAACTAAATAAACAAAAGGAAAAAAAGATGTAATCCTCTAAAAAAAGATTCAAAAAAAGATGCATGTACCAATCTGATTCATAGAAGGCATGATGAAACATATTTTTCTGAGAGAAGATTCAACTGGGATATGCTGGATCAAAATCCGCAGCATCTATATCTCTCTAAGAATTGAGAGAGAGAAGCTCCTCAATCAAAGAACTTAAATCGCTGTGAGATGATCCCCCTTCTGCAACAGCTTCTCTTGCCTTCTCAGCAAAACCTCCCGCCCTAATTCTCATCTCTGTTGCTTCCTCTCCAACCATAACCTTCCTCACTGCTCTCTCTATGGCTTCATGCTTCACACTATCTCCAACCCATCGAACCCACTTTTGAACCCCAACACCAACGCCAATCTTCAGAACCTGAGTCACCAACTTCTCGTTGAAAAACTGCTCTGCCCCCACCGGCCAAGTCACCATAGGTACACCGGCAGCCACAGCTTCCATCACTGAGTTCCATCCACAGTGTGTCACAAACGCTCCCACTGCTTTGTGATCAAGAATCAGCAACTGGGGAGCCCAATTTCTCAGAATCAGTCCCTTCTCTTTCGTTCTGTTCTCGAATCCTTCTGGCAGCCATTGTTCCTTTCCTGCGTCGTCGTCTTCCTTGTTTTTATTTATCACCCAGATAAATTCCACCCCTGATGCCTCCAGACCCAAAGCTACCTCCTTTAATTGTTCGTTCGTGAACGTTGTGGTGCTTCCAAAACATATGTATATTACTGAGTGTGTTTCCTTGTGGTCTAGCCACTGAAGGCATTCAAGGTTGATGTCTGAAGCTGAAACTCGGCTTCCCCTGTTTGCTTTTACTTCAGAGTCGCCGTTGCAGAGGGAGACTGGGCCCATATTCCAAGTCTTTCTTCCAAGAACGTTCCTGTAGAAATCTGAATAAGCTGGCTCAAGCTCGTAAAAGCTGTTCACTATAACCCCATAGCATTTGGAGTCTGAATCTGCGGAAGCTCTGAACACTCTAGCAATCTCTGTTTCGTCATCTTCTAGCTTCATGAAACTCGGCAGCTGATTCCTCGACAACTCGATATTTCCTGGAAGACTAGGTGTGACGAAGGACTCGGATTCTGACGAGACTTTCTTGTGAGGCGTAAAGGAATTGATACATAGGGAAGCACATATAGCGAAAGTACATGTTCCATGGAACAGCAGCCTTGGAATCCCGTGTTTAGCAGCAAGATTGTTAGCCCATGGAAAGCAAGTGTCAGCCACAAGAACATTAGGACGATGCTTTTGAAGGAACTCATCGATTGGTTTCTCTAGCAAAGGAATCACCTTTAGAAATCTTTCCTTTAATTCAGGGGGCTTAACAAAGTTAAGAGTCTCACATCCTTCTGGCAATCCAATTTCCGATGAAGGGAATTCGATGATGTGAAGTGCGATCCGGTGACCCTTTTCTTGGCTTTTGTAGATTGATTTGTAAAAAAGAGGAGAATTGGAAGAGGTAGTAATAAGTGTTACTTTTGAACCTCGTGAAGCAAACAGTTTGGCTATGTCTATAGTTGCCATCATATGGCTATGAGACATGAAGGGAAAAAGAGCTACGTGCAGGGGCAGCTCACGGCTGTGACTACACATTCTGTTACTGCAATTATGGATCATATTTTCCGTAAGATGATCAAAAAAATTCTTTCAATTTTGTGCTTTGACTTGGTGTTACTTATGTTCGATTTTGTTTTTGGTATTTATAATATGAATGCCTTGGTTACCACGCCTGAGGAAGTAGCAATAACAAAGACGTTCGAAGTGTTGGACGATGGCATAGGGCATGTGGTGCCGTATGACGAGATTATAGTATTATACTATGTTGTCAACTTTGAGTTCAATGGCGTTCCTAGTATTTTTTTGGCAAAAATGATCATGCGTAAAACAAATTCAATGCATCTAGTTCTTTATTTGTAGCGTTTGACTTGTGAAGGATTGAGTCGCCTTCTAGATTAACTTGGAAAATAAGCAAAGGCTAGAACTGATATTTATTTGATATAATATGTTGTCTATAGTAAACTTCTCTTATTTGGAAGTCGTCGTTAACTAGATTGGAGAAGGAGGGGATGGCTAATACGGACCGGTTCGTTCAGCCTAACAAGTTCTTTTTCTTTTTTTTTGGGAAAAAAGAAACTTCGTAAAAGATACATCGCAGCGGAAATTCGTGCAAGATTCAGTGTCAACTCTCAAGCGATCCCAAGAAAGACACGCTGAAAAATATAAAACCAATGAAACCCCATGTGTTAAAATTCATAAATAAAAAAAATGCCGGAAAAGTACGTATCAATATTCATTATATCTCTATTATATTTGCTGAGTACACTAGTATTGTCCACAAAACACCTCCTGACAAATTCAGAAACCAAAACCAAGAAGGCAATTTCTTCAGCAATGAAATAATTTGGGCTTACTTCGGCTCCTCAAGACAAAACTCCAAGAGACATGTTATAAAGGAAAGAGCCTTTGTCCAATTGAGAGAGTAAGGTGCATTTGGGCTTCGCAGCTTGACCGTCAAGCGCTCCACAAGTGGACCAGTTTTTTAATACAGCAACTTGGCAAGTTCACCGAGAGAATTGATTCTAGCAAAAAAAAAATTAGTCTTTTATAATATGACAAATCAAAATTTAAATCTCTATTAGGAGAGATACTCATATTTAATAGGCTAGCGAGTCCACCGTCATTCACAGCTATAATTAACTAAGTCTTATTTATAGAGTAAAAAGAAAAATTTTTGATCCTATTTATAGGACAAAAGAAATTTTTGGTTTTGGTCATTCCTTAATTATGGCTTCGCTCCTTTTTGAGGTCCACCGGAATACTCCTCCGCCTTAATATAAGACCCAATTGTTGAGTTGGTTTTGCTCCTAAACATAAGATCCATTTCTCATATTTATCAATTTTCTCTAAATTACCCCTATGAATACTCCCTCAACCATAATCAAATAGAAGAGGGAGATGTGGTATTAAAAAAAATGATTATGGTGTTTTAGGAAAAATGTGTCACTTTTCTTATAATTAACCAACTTACCTAACTTCCTTAATCTAATCAAATTAGTTAAATGGGTCTTATATTAAGGACCGGAGGAGTATTAATTAGTAAAAGCGATGCGTCAACTCCTTCCCCATAATTATGCAATTTTCTATTCAAAATTTAGAAAATCTGCAACTCACCTACCATTCTTTAACAAAAAATAAATAAAAATAGCACAATTAATTGATTAGAAAATCTAGCTAATGGCATCCCAAAAGTGACAAAACAATAACTACAACGTTTCATAAAACATCAAAACAACAAAAGCCCATGGATTAAAAAAACCATGGACATCTTGGGTTCGCGAGAAAGAAAGGACATGTATGGTAAATTAATGATGATGATGATGATAATAAGCAGACCAAACCTATGGTTCCTTGCCAGCCCCCTCTTCGCGCATCCCGATGCATCATTTTTTTAAGTATCATATATACACAAATAATTTTGGGAAAGTCTAAGATGACGGGTATAAGGAAAAAAAGACTTTCTGACCTGGATATTTAACCACCAAAGATCTTGCTTGGATCATTGATCATGGCTACTGTGTCTACTACAGCTTCATGGACTTAAAAAATCTAGTGACGAGTGCCATGAATTTTTTTTGTTTTTTATATTTATAAAAACTCTGTCCTCTATGACTAACGGAACAAGCTATATAAGCTGGCATCATTTGTCTGTAGCAATATAAAACAGCATAACATTACACACAAACCATTATTGAATATGGGATATGAAAGATGCATCTATCAATGATGGGAGCTTGAAATCAAGTGGTGAATGAGAGAATCCAAACTGGAGAGGGATGATCCACCTTCTTGCATGGCCTGACTTGCTTTGCAAGCAAGCTCCTTTGCCTTCTTTCTCATTTCCTCTGCTTCTTCTCCTTCCATCATCCTCCTCACTGCCTTCTCTATGGCTTCCCACTCGATCCTCTCTCTCTCCAATCTGGACCAGTTCTTAGCTCCCACACCAACCCCTATCTTCAGCACGCTCGTCACCAACTTCTCATTGTAAAACTGATCTGCGTAATTTGGCCAAGTTATCATTGGCACTCCTGCGCACACTGATTCCAACATCGAGTTCCAACCACAGTGCGTCATAAACGCTCCGGTTGCTTTGTGTTCAAGAATCTGCACTTGTGGTGCCCATCCTCTTATGATCAGTCCCTTACCTTCTATTCTTTTCTCGTATCCTTCATCAGGTAGCCATTCTTCTTCGTCTTCGTCTCTGTTATTATTGCTTTTGGTGCTTGTGGCCACCGCCCATATGAATTGATGGCCTGAGGCTTCTAGCCCCTTGGCAATCTCTCTCAGCTGAGATTTTGGGAAGCTTGTTAAGCTTCCGAAGCATACGTAAACCACTGAGCTGGGTTCCCTTGTGTCCAGCCATTTCAGGCACTCGTGTTTCGCATTGGATTCTTCGCTCTCTCTTTCTCTTTTACCATCAGTGTGCCTTCTGCACAGAGAAACAGGGCCTACGTGCCACGCCTTCTTTCCCAGCACCTTCCTGTGGAGATTTTTAAATGAGGGTGCCAGGATTTTACAGCAAAAATTTAATCACACAGAACATGAAATAAGTTATACTAGTATATATATATATATATATATATAAAATTATATAATACAAATATCTTGACATATATACTAGATTTTTTATTTTAAACTATATAATTAAAAGAATATGTGTCTTTATGTTTTAAGTCGTGTCCGTCAATATCTTACGATGTAAAAGTCATTAATTGTTATAATTTAGACATACTTTTTAGCAATATAAAAAAAACAAATCTCACTTCAATTTTAATATTTTTAGGTAAATTAATTAGAAAAAGATTTATTAATATTTTTCGGCCGACAACAGTATGTACTCTCTCTATACATACATATATTTTGGGTCAACGAAAGCAACATATTTCTACTTCCATCTGAAAGAAGAGAAACAGGCACGAGAGATTAACAAGTGACAGATACAAAATAATAAGTCTAACAACCGTATAACTGAATTCCGCTGAGGTTAGAATTTATTCCTTACCGACCTTACATAAACTACTATTACCTCATGTAATTAATATACGAGTTATTTGACTGATTTAAATAAATTAAAGAAATTAGTTAAATTAGTTATTTATAATAAATATATGTTGTTTTTCTTAAAATATTTTTGCTAATAAAATATATTGGCTAAAACTACCATTATTACAAGGACTACCTTAAAAAAAGAGATAAAGTAGATTGGAGTCTTATATTTAGAATTAAAATAAAAGTCAAACGAGTTCTTATATTAAGAACTGATGATAGTATTAACTAAAATCATTAATAAAAAATGAGACGAACTCTTAACCCCGTTAACACTAATTAAGGAATTATTGATAAAATTTATTTCATATGTGCGTGCACTCAACTTTTAGGAGGCCAATCTAAAGTAAACTAACTTTGATCATCCCCTGTAATGATTTTCTAAAATGAAAACCACGACCACAAAAATAAACTCAAGACACGTGGGTTATTAGCTAGCTATGAAACTCCATGTCACAAGCTGAATTCAACATTGTTTGTTTTTCATAGGCCAAAAAAAAAAAAACATTGTTTGTTTTGAAAGACGGCCGGAGTTTGAAGTTTCACACATACCGGCAATACTCGACGTAATCGTGCTCCAGTTCGTGGAAGCTATTAACAAGCACCCCATAGCTCTCGGCATTAGATTCCTCGGAAGCTTCAAAGAACTTCATCGTTTCAGGCTCCTCGTTCCTCATCACATAATGTCCCACTTCAGTTCTCGTCATCTTGATTTCACCGGGAAGGCTAGGAATCACAAAGGCATCCCAGTCCGTCGAAACGTCCTCGTAAGGCCTGTATAGGCTCATGCACTCGACGGCACACAAGGTGAAGAAACCAGAGCCATTGAACACCAGCACCGGAATCCCAAACTCTGCAGCAGAACGGGTGACCCAAGGGAACATCATATCGGCGACGATACAGTGCGGCGCACACTGTGACAAGGCTTGCTCCAGCGGTTCACGAAGCATGGCGGTGGCTTTGAGGAACGCGGGAATCAGATCTTGGGAGGGAACGGAATGGAGATTCTCGCATCCCTGGGGCAAAACGGTTTTTTGAGGGCAAGGGAAATCGATGGTTTGAATGTGAACGTCGCCGGCGTGTGGAATGAGAGAAGCGTTGAGAGGGGTGGTGATCACGGTGGCTTTCACCCCTCTGGATGAAAATAGTCTGGCCAAGTGAAGCATAGGGGTGATGTGGCCGTGAGCCAGGAAAGGGAAGAAGAATATGTGCAGAGAAAGGCGTCGTCCATTATCACTATTCATGTTGCGGGGAAAGCTCAAAGCTATGGCGGCTACTATACGTACAGCAAAAGGAAAAGGGAAACGATTGAGGGAGACAACGGAAAAGGGGCAAGTTTTAGAATAAAAATAAAAAATGGAAAAGAGGGAGACAGGAGGATTTGGACTGCATTTTCTCCGTGAAATAATAATAGATCATCTATAACATAAAAGGGACTCACCGAATCCGCCGAAATATGATTTAGACTCTACGGTTTTGCAGAACAAATGGGGGCCGTCGAACAATTTTCTGATGAGCATTTTAGACTTATCAGATCTGAATTGTCTATATCTTATTTAAATTATTCAGATTTAAAATTTTTTAATTAATTATTTTTAAATAGAAAAAATTATTTTTTGAAAGAATGATAGTTAAGAGATTATCCCTATTTTAGATTATATACATATTAAAATAATTATTTTAAATAAAAAATCAAATCCAGATCATCAAAATGGGACACGGAAATTTAGATCTGATGAATTTGGAATACTCATCAAAATAATGAATATCAAAACTGGTTCGCGAGCCTGTAGTGTTCTAGGAGCGGAGGCGTGGGGAGTAAAGGGGAGTCTTGGGATAGCCTGGGATATGGGAATGGAAAGAGTGGAACTTGAGATTAATTGTGAGGAAGTGGCAAGAAAACTGAGAGGCAAAGCTATGGAGGATGGATTTTCGAGTAGCTTGACACGTAGCATTTCAAAGCTCCTTGCGAGAAAGTGGAGGGTTTAGAGTGAATGTGGTGAGACGAACAATGTCCAGATGGTTTAGCAAAACTCAGCTCTGTCAAGCAAGGTGCGAGGATGCTGATTTGTGTTTGGATAGATTTCTGTGAAACCATCCCTTTAACAAACTAACATTTATTTGAAAGATATATTAAGAAACATGTTAGACGTAAGATGATTGAAAATGATGTTAATTTTATAATATATATTATTTGTATATTATTTAGTAGTTTTAAGAGAAATATTAAAATTAAAGTCAACATTATAAGAGAAAATAGTTTATATGTTATTGAGACAAACTTGTAAATACAAGAAAGCATTTAATTAAATATATTTAATGAATATATATTTCAAATTATAAGAACGTTAAAATTTAACAAAGGATGTACCCGAAAAGATTAAGATGTTTTATAAACATCAATCATCTTCATATGTATATTGTAATTAAAAACATGGATTGGAAAGAGAGAGGCCTGGGGCGATGTACGAAGAACTAAACCGGAAATTTATTTCTTCGGCCAGAACCCGAAAGTTAATTCTCTTGGTAAAATTCCAAACACAAATTTCATGAAATGAAAGTGACAAACCGATAAACGAGAGGAGTGCTTTTCCATTTCAAATACTACCTCCAGTTTTTAATATAAAAAATTATTTAATTTTTATTTTGATTTTAAATATAAGACTCAAATTCATTTTCTCTATCATATTTATCTAATTTTTTTTCAAAATAATCCTTATAATAATAATTTAAATCAGTACATTTGATGAGCAGAGATATTTTGAAAAAGATAATATTTATTTATTACAAATAACTAACATAACTAATTTTTTTAATTTACTCAGATTAGTTAACTGATTTTTATATTATATTAAAGGCGGGAGGCAGTAAAATGACTATATGAGTATTATGCAAAAAGTTACAGGCTTGAATAAAATATAGAAGCATGGTTGCTGAATTGGACATTGGGTCAATCCAAGTCCTGCTCCGGCCCAACACGAAGGTGGGCTGTATATTGTTGGATAATGTTGGGCTTTTAAATGATTTTTTTAGTATCATTCTTATCATAATCATCGCATGAACATTGAAACTTTTGACAGATGCTCAGATCTTTCAACACCCATATACTATCCAAATCAGTTTCCCAAAAAAAGCTAATACAGACATTTACGACTTATATTTTTAATAAAACAGATGGAGTGAAACTATATACGTATATTGTACGAACTGTATATGTATATGTGTATATATATGTTTTTTTTTTGTATTCAAATTTTAGGAAAGGGGTTGGGCTCACCTACTATTCAAGGACATGGCACTTAATACTTGATCCACTGGGGTGTTCCTATAGATATGAGAGCATGACAAGCAAGTTTTTTTTTCCTGGCACAATAGGTAAGGATCTCCCAATTTCATTACACTGTGATGATGCCTCTTTTAGTGTAGCAATTGGAGTCACAACAAAGTGGCATTTCCTAAGATCAAACCCCCTCCTTTTAGTGAGAGAACCTGACCTCTTCACCAGCTAAACCCACAGACGAGGGGTGTATATATATGTTTTTAATAAATTATTTATGTATATATGGCATCAAGAGGGTTTAAACTTAGAGTCACCCATATTTATTGTATGAACTAACCTCATGCGTTTAATTCATAAACTTTCGCTGGAAAAAAAACCCATATATTTGTCGTATCGTCCTTGTGAAGTAAATATGCAAGAGTATCAGTAGATTGTAAATGTCTAAATGATAATGAAATGAGCAGGCGCAGAACATGAATATTATATAAATTTAAGGCTTAACTTGTTGTCAAAAAAATAATAATAATAATAATATAAGCCTTAGCTTCGTAAGCACGCTGCTTCAGGTAAATAATGGAGGAATAGTCTTTTTTTTTTTTTGATCTGAATAATGGAGGAATAGTCTAGAGTCTAGACTCCAGTCTAATTTTTTATGATATGCAGTTATGTAACAAGTTTAAGGTTTAAAATTGCTTTTTTTAAATAAAAAAAATTAAAACATTGATCCTATAATCTAATAAAAATCTAGACCATTTTATTTTTTGAGGAACTAAAACCTATAATTTGAAATTTAAATAATCAAAATCAAAATAAGAGTAAAATTGAGGAACTAAAAATTATATTAACCGCAACTTAAAATATTATAAATAATAATACATTTGTGTCGACTAATATATATATATATACACTAATCTATAAATCTATCCAGCAAAAAACCTATAAATCTATAAGACTCGTGTCATTTATTAGTTATAGACAATACTAAAACAGAAGAGTAAAAACTAAGACCTCATCCTCGCTTTTTGTAATCTCAAGTAAGCTTTCAAATGATAAATTTATTATGACGTTGAACAACAAAATAATAAATAATTTTTTTAAAATAAATATAATTTCAAATAAACCTCAAGTATATTAGTCACAGAATAAAATAATATAAAATAAATCCATATAACTAACCATATTAACAGGGTGTTTGGGTAGATATAAAATTATGGTTTTAAAAATATTTTTATGACATAAAATAAATATGTAAAAAAATTTACTTCGATTGGCAGAAAAATATTTTTTCATAGTATTTTTAAAGTTAGGCGGACACCTCCTAAACATATTGATATACTACCTCTAGTCCTTAATATAAGACCCTATTTGATTTTTATTTTGGTTCTAAATACAATACCCCAATCCACTTTGTCTCTCATATTTATACATTTTTTTCAAAGTAGCCCTTCTAACAATGATAGTTCTAGTCAATACACTTGATTAGCAAGGATATTTTAGAAAAGATAACACTTATTTAGGACAAATAACTAACTCAACTTACTTTTTTAATCTCTTTAAATTAGTCAACTGGTTTTTATAATTAAGATAGGAGGTAATATCATTATTTAGGAGGAAAAAAAAAAAGAAAAAGAAATATATCCTGTTTAACTTAACATGAAGGCTCCCTGGCTCGTTAAAAGCTTTTGACCGGGACGGCTGGTTAACGCGAAACCTTCGAATTTAAGCTTTCTGGCTTATCAGCGATACCCCGGCGTTCCCAGTTATCCATCCGACCTTCAAACCTCCCTTCCCGTAACCTGGGCCCACACCATCTCACATCGGACGGTTGTAATCTCTTCATCAGACTGTGTTAGGGCTTACCCAAACCCACCGTCCCCAGTCACCACCTACCTATATACTTTTCACTGCTTCACACATCTTCTTCCCCTCAGTACAGTTCCTGTGCTGTCCCTCTTTATTATTCACGCGCCGCCGCCGCCATCATCGGCGGCTATTGTTATCTGTAGTCGGACTTCCGCCCAATCTATCCTTCGTTATCCTTCCCTCTCCTCGTTTTTTTCGTTTCGTACCAGAAAATCACAAAAGTTCTCAATTTTGTTTAAAAAAAAAAACCCTTAAAGCTGATTTATTTACTTCGTATCTTTTTTCCTCTCACAGCTTGCTGAGTCTAGGTTGCTGTTCTTCCTTGGGTGTATTGATCCGAATAACTAGAGGAGAGGGAAGATAAAAAGAAAAAAAAAAAGAAAAAAGGGAAAACTTTTGACAAAAAAAAATCACGTCGAAAGCATTTAGGACGGTGTTGTAGTTGTGGGTTGAGATGGCTCAGGTTCAGGTTCAGCCTCAGAATGCAATTCCGGGGACTAACGGTGCTGCTGCGGCTGGCGGGAGCAGCCAGTTTGGGGCTTCGTCGCTTTATGTCGGAGATCTTGACCTGAACGTCACGGATTCGCAGCTATATGACCTGTTTAATCAAATTGGTCAGGTCGTGTCTGTTAGGGTTTGTAGGGATTTGACTAGCCGGAGATCACTTGGATATGGTTATGTCAATTTTGGCAACGCGCAGGATGGTGAGTCTGTTTTCTTATATCTTTCATAAATTTCATTTGATATATGTAGTTTTCAATGTTTAGATTGCATTGGGTCATCTTATACCTTAATGTGTGTGGGGCTTCTCCATTGGGAATGTGTAAGCTTTCTTCTGCCTCATTGATCAATAATTGATGGGTTTGCCTTACAATTCAATGCATGATTTGGAGAGGTGTATGTTAAGGAAAGGCACTGGTCGTTTGAAAGAAGGTTAATCTCATCCGTGGACGAAGTTGTTCATTCATGTGGCTCTAAAATTGCTTTGAGTGCCTCACTAGTCTGCATTTAGCGCTCCAAATTTTCGCCTAGATTGTGTCTAATAATCTAATTAAATTTCCCTGTTTAGAGCTTTATTCTAGCTGGTAACATAAGAAAGAGAAAACAGAAATCCATGGAAGAAAAGAGTGAGAAATGGTTGGTCTAGTTGGTATATGAAGGTGTGTTGATTTCATTTGCTTGGTCGAGTATTTTTGTCCTTCACATTGAAAGATAATAAATTTATTTAAGAAAGTAATTGTTACTTCCTCAGAAATACACAAGTTAAACCAAACAAGTTACATGTCAACTTCCTGGGAAGTTAATTTCCCAGGAAGTATACTTCCTAGGAAGTAGAGCGACTGAACCAAGCTAGGCCTAAGTATGGGACTTTTAAGTTGGAAACATAGTGTTCGTATGTGAGAAGTCCTGGAATATTTTCATGGTAGGCCTTTTTGATCGTTGTCAAATATATTTGATACATAATTCGTTTATTGTAATAAAGTGTTCGGGTATTATGATGCTTCTTAACTTCATAATGAAAATAATTTTATTTGAGACAATGAGCCATAGAATAAACATGTCCGTAAGTTAAATTGGCAGATCTAACTTCTCTAAACAGCGCAATTGCACCAATGGCAACCAATTCAGATGAATAATGTAGGATCTACATGTACAAAGTATTCAGATTTATTCTTAGTTCAGGTTGTTGCTATATGATTTTTTAATGCATGATCATGTTGATGAAGCAAATGCTCAGTAATTATTCTAATCAAATTGCAATTTCCCCGGGGATTCCCCAAGCTCTTTTCTTGGCTAGAGTGCAAAACTAGTTTGATTTAGGTAAAATATGTTCATTAGATACCATATCCCCATACAAGTCATAGAGAAGTATTATTTTGGCCAGAATGTGATCTGTATTTGTGCATGCTGTTTCTTTTCTTGCATAGCAATTCTGTTCTGTGTGAAAGGTATTCTCCAGTTTCAAGTCTGAGTAGCTGAGACTAAGAAGATGCTGTATTTGTGTTATTTGTATTGGCCAACACCAATCTTTACTAGTGGATGAATTCACTAGTTATTAGCATTTTGGTTAAAAAAGTTATTCAGATTACCTGTGAGTTTTGGTGATTTCACTGATTTGTTTATCTACTTTGTTACCTATGGACGTGATCTCCATTTTAGCTGGTCTCCATAGCTTTATTCAGAGGAGTAATGCTTTTTGTTATGTGTTCTGATAACCACATATTGTTTCTTCTTGTTTTATTGTGTCTAAATATAAGTGTCTTTGACTTTCTATAACATGTTTCCAACTGATTCGCAGCTGCCAGAGCAATGGATGTTCTGAACTTCACTCCTCTGAATAACAAACCCATCCGTATCATGTATTCACATCGTGATCCCAGTATTCGCAAAAGTGGGGCTGGAAATATATTTATTAAGGTGTATATTTCTTGGTTTTTTCATGTTTTCTGGTAAGAACCTATTATCTTGTATGTTTTTGTCTGTTCCCCTCACATTTTTACACTTAACATTGCAGAATTTGGACAAGGCAATCGACCACAAAGCATTACATGATACCTTTTCTGCATTTGGGAATATCCTCTCTTGCAAGGTAGCCACAGACTCATCTGGCCAATCAAAAGGCTATGGCTTTGTACAATTTGATAACGAGGAATCTGCTCAGAAGGCCATAGAGAAGCTTAATGGTATGCTGTTAAATGATAAACAAGTATATGTTGGACCCTTCCTTCGCAAGCAAGAAAGAGACAGTGCAGTTGACAAGACAAGATTCAACAATGTTTTTGTGAAGAACCTATCAGAAGTAACTTCTGATGAAGATTTGAGGAAGATTTTTGGTGAATTTGGAACAATTACAAGTGCTGTGGTGATGAGGGATGGGGATGGTAAGTCAAAGTGCTTTGGATTTGTGAATTTTGAGAATGCCGATGATGCGGCTAGGGCTGTTGAGGCCCTTAATGGGAAAAAAGTTGATGAAAAGGAATGGTATGTTGGAAAAGCTCAGAAGAAATCCGAAAGGGAACTTGAATTGAAACTTCGATTTGAGCAGAGCATGAAAGAAGCAGCTGATAAATATCAAGGGGCTAATTTATATGTTAAAAATTTAGATGACAGCATTAGTGATGATAAACTTAAGGAGCTCTTCTCTCCATTTGGAACCATTACCTCATGCAAGGTATGTGATTTCTTTTTTCCTTTACCCTATGTCTTTTGTTTATCTGTGTTCATTGAATTATTCCCTTTTGACTGGGAAGGTCATGAGGGATCCCAACGGAATAAGTCGAGGATCAGGGTTTGTTGCATTCTCAAGTGCTGATGAGGCAGCCCGAGCAGTAAGTCATGATGCCATTTTTTTCGTTGAATATATCAGTTGATGTTCTTGATTGTCCGGAAATAGTGTAATAATTTTCTATTTTAATAATTTGGTAGCTCTCGGAGATGAATGGCAAAATGGTGGTAAGCAAACCTCTGTATGTTGCTCTGGCCCAACGAAAAGAGGATAGAAGAGCTAGATTGCAGGTAAGCCTTTTTTGCTTCATCCTATTATAGGTGTAATGCCGAGATTTACATATAAATCTTTATAGCTTTCTCTCCTTCAAACACAGGGATGCACACTTGGCTCAGAAGAACCATATTACTCTCTGTTATCTAAATAAATATTGACTGTTATAGGAACTAAATATGGATTAAAAGAAAAGATAGGTTGGCATGCAGGCCTATTGAGTTTTATCTGTTTGACCATATTTCTTGAACATTATTTGTTGTGGGATCTTAACTATAGTTGCATCATTATTGCAGTTGTTTGAGGTTTATTTTATTTGGCTGGAATCTTAAGTGACTGTTAAGTTGTACATATGCTGGACTCTTAACTGTTTATACAGGCTCAGTTTGCTCAAATGCGGCCTGTTCCAATGGCACATTCTGTTGCTCCCCGTATGCCAATGTACCCTCCTGGTGGTCCGGGTATTGGACAACAAATATTTTATGGTCAAGGTCCTCCTGCCATGATTCCCTCCCAGGTAACCTGATGTTCACAACAACGCTGTATTTTATGGTCAGTATGTCCTGAATTGATGGTGACGGCCTTCTTAATAGTGTTACTCATCTCCTAGATTATACATTTCCATAATACATCATCTTGAATTTTCTCATCTAACCTTGAATCTTCTTTTTTCCCAGCCTGGATTTGGGTATCAACAACAGTTAGTTCCTGGCATGAGGCCTGGTGGGGCTCCCATGCCAAATTTCTTTGTGCCAATGGTTCAGCAGGGACAACAGGGTCAGCGTCCTGGTGGAAGACGTGCTGGAGCAGTGCAGCAGAGCCAGCAGCCTGTTCCACTTATGCAGCAGCAGGTTCATGAAATTTCATTTTTTATTCCTATTCTTGTAGACCATCCATGCATTCATAGCATCTGACCTGTTACTTTTGGGCTTGACAGATGCTTCCAAGGGGTCGTGTTTACCGTTATCCTCCTGGTAGGGGCCTGCCTGATGTTCCCATGCCTGGTGTTGCTGGAGGCATGTTTTCTGTCCCGTATGATGTGGGTGGAATGCCCATGCGTGACACAGGCCTTTCCCAGCAAATTCCTATAGGGGCTTTGGCTTCTGCCCTGGCAAATGCCCCTCCTGAACAGCAGAGGACGGTATGCATTTCTTCCATTCTAACAAGCCAAGAGAACTTAATAATGCCTCCTTAACCTTGATTGTCGAACTCTTTAGCCCTAATTTACTAAAGGCAACTCCAAATACAATAAGTCGATTTGAAAATGAAAGGATAATTAACGAAATATATTATGAAGGTGAGAAAAATATAATTAAAAGGATAGTTATTCAAGTCTAGCAAAGTAACTAAATTCAAAATAAATGTTTATGTTTATCTTTAATGCCTAATTTACAAATAATTAGTGACATCTCTGGTACACATTAAATTCGTGAAGTTTTAAGAAACCCCAGCCTCTGATACCATATCCGATGGATGATTTTTTACGCAGATGCTGGGAGAAAATCTCTATCCTCTTGTGGAACAGTTGGAGCCTGACAATGCCGCTAAAGTGACTGGCATGCTTCTGGAGATGGACCAGACCGAGGTTTTACACTTGCTCGAGTCACCTGAAGCTCTGAAAGCAAAGGTCGCTGAGGCAATGGATGTCCTGAGGAATGTCGCTCAGCAGCAGCAGGCCGGCGGTGCTGCTGATCAGCTAGCCTCATTATCGCTTAATGACAACCTTGTTTCTTGAGAGAGATTTATATTTGGCCGCAGATTCTCTGTGGATGTTGAATTGTTATGGGAGGCGCAGGCTGTGATTCAGCTAAAATGTTCTGGGTGTTCTTAGTTCGGATAGGTACTCTGCTTTTGGTCTGCCAGGGATTTTCGGTCTAAAGGATTGTTTCAAAGTTGATTTAAATGGTGCTTTATGTGTGGTACTGCAGTTTGTGGTGTGTTCCAAGAATCAGGATTATGAATTGTTATTCTGTTTGATTGCCTCTCCCTTTTCTTTTTAGATTATTGCATATGTTGTGATGCGATCATTGATGATAACATTCCTCATGAACTAGATCTCGCGCCCAATCGGAAATGACTTTGAATATCTGAACTTTGAAATGACTAATTATCTGTTGGGGACCTGGTTTCCATAATTCCGTTACTGTGCGTTATATGTAATCAGTTAAATATACTGCTTTCGGTTTTTAGCATGAGGGGGGAAGTTATTAAATTGTTTTAAGTATTTATGTTTATCTTTTTTTTTGGCAAATTAATTTAACATTTATAAATTGATATATAATCTAATAATACACAAATGTTTTAAAGAGATCATGTAATGTTATAATTAAGTAATTTTATAGTTTTTTGAAATTAGCTAATTAGGTTTTATGTTAAGGATAGGTAGTATGTGAAATTGAGGACGAGATTAGTGTCCAATGTCCACTTTGCCGGGTGCCGTTGTACTTTGTAGCACTGATTTTTCCAATTTTATGGTATTACTACAAATAATGACAATTTCTTGATTTTTTTTACCTCGGGAATTTAACTGTACTTTGTCTTGCAGTTTCATTTGTCCCTTCCCGATGTTTAATATAAAATTTCCATGGGACAAGGGGAAAAGGCTACGTTGACATGGTTTTTAACTTGTGCGTCCTATGTTCCTCTTCGGAGGATTTTCATTTTAGGTGTTAGCTTCTGTAAACGTGTTAATTCGATGGCCAGTTAAGCTTCTGGTCGCATATCATCAATCTGGACATCAGGTATTCATCACTTGATTTCAAAGCCAAAAGAATGTTGGATGAAAAACAAAAGAATCAATTTCGTTATGGGCTTCACTTTTATAAAGCTGAATTTATACATAATATATATCAAGGAGATGTCGGGTCATATTTGTCGCAGTAACTTTATTTTTGCATTAATCATATCGCCCAACAAACGTCAGATGGTCCACATCAACTCATGGTTTTTATATGTACACCCGTTTTATTAGCATATCAATGTCCAGGGAACTTTGTCCTGCGAAGGTTATAGATGTAGTATTCCTTAGACATAATTCAGATATTCTAAGAATGTAATCTTTCTCAAACAGCGTATCTCAAAGGCTGCGTTAATAGCTATTAAGAACGGTTGCTCTTTATCTTATTTGTTTAAAAGATCAAACTTTAGGATTATAGTTTAAAAAATGATTTTTTTTTTAAAAACAAACTAATTCAACGTAAGAACTCAGAATGCACTTTTGACATTGCTTAAGGAAAGATTTAATCGCAACTCTACAAACCCAAAACATGAGACGGACGGCAAAGGAAATTCTTCATGCTCTGAGAAAAGCGATCTTTTTCTCTCTCGATCAAAAGGAAAATTCATTTGAAAGTAGGGGACAGCTATTTATCTGGTGCAATAACTTCCATTGAAGAAAATCTGAAGTAGATGTATCCAGAGATTCCACACCCAGAAGAAAATAGTCAAATCGTTTCACTGCATTTTCGACGCTTTCTGTTTCGGCGCATTCACGTATGTATATGTTAAAGCAGAGTCATTTTGATTGCTAAACATTCTGTTAGTTGTTTGTGGGGCTCTCTTTTCCTCTCTCGGGCTCCCTTTTGACTCTATTCCGATATTTGTGCACTGACACTTTTGATTACTATTACTTCCCTTTCACTCTATCATTATTTTACTTTTTCATGGCAAAATAATAATGCATTCCCACACCATGATTTTGTGTGTCTGATGGAGGTAAAGGCATCCTATGATCATAACAGGCCTGCCATTCCCTACTTCAAAGCGCAGCCTTAAACATCCTCGTTAACACTTTGATGCCCACCTTTTGCCCAGGTACGAAATCTCTCTTCATATGACTTCTTTCTTTTTCTTTTTCTTTTTCCTTTTAACGTGTTGGGTTTCCTTCCTTTTCTTGCATATGCAAAATTCCGGGCTCACAGTTGTTGATTACAGGATGCAATTTTCAGCTTTGAGCATGTTGTTCTTACTTCTGATGTTGCCTCTTCGATTTTCATATGACCTGCAAAACACTATAGGACATGTAGGCAACTAGCCACGGCCAGTTGAACTAGCAATGATAATAGTTTGTTTTGAAGGTTGAATATGAGTATATACATAGCTTGCATCAGCTGTTCGGTTCTCAATCATGTTATTTTTGCGTGTTCTGTCTCCATGTTTGTCAATTGTTTGTCTCCACGATTCAGAGTCTGGTATTATAAAGAGTTTTTACTCATTTAGTTCGGGTACATTAGCATGAAATATTCCCATTTCTTGGTTGTTAGACCGGACCCGAATCCTGAAACATGAATTACAAACCATGGCAATGGAGGAAAGGATCCGCAGAGAAGACAATATTAGGAATGGAAAAATCTGTCAATCCTTCCAGAACAACCAAAGAAGAGGTACTTTAAACTTGCTTATATAGATGCTGTTATTTAGTTTCCTCTTTTTATGATTCACCTTCGTGTTTTTCCCCTCAATTTCTGCTACCAACATAACTCGAGTCGTGTCCTTCAGCAAAATTGATGAACTGAAAATCTCATTTATTTACTAACAAAATTTTCATTTTCCAGGGACAGAAACTTCCGACTTGTAATGAAGATGGACCGGAAAAATCCTCGAAGAGTCTGAATGAGAAGTTGGCTTCAGTTCTTCTTGATTGCTATAATGGGGACAATCCTTCAACAAAGCATTCACAGAAGTCCCAAGAGGGAATTCCAGGTAATTCGATGGTCCTTCTGCATATTCTTATCCTTTTCTTCTCAAAATTCAATCTGGTTCTGGCTGATCCTCTATTTCTATAATACCTAGGCGAAGATGAGGAAAAACAAGTGAAGTCAATTGAGGGGGAAGAAGAACATTCAGGTAAAGAAGTATCGGATGAAAAGGTAACTCAAACAGATGCAACAATGCATGTCTCTTCTGGTGCTGTTCTAAACACATCAAGAGACCATGACAAGATTCAGGAAGGATTAGAAGTCAAGTTGAGGGAAACTAGTAAAAGGCTAGATGACTTAACTACCGAGAACACATGTCTAACTAGTGCCCTATTATCCAAAGAGAAATCTATTGAGGAGCTGCTGAAAAGTAAACACCAGGTAGATGGAGAATTGAGTACCATAATGGCTAGATTGGATTCCATGGAGAAGGAAAATGCTTTCCTGAGATATGAACTTCACATGCTTGAGAAGGAACTGGAGATCAGAAAAGAGGAGATGGAGTATAGCCGTCAGTATGCAGATGCATCGCATATACAATATCTGGAGAGAGAACAGGAAGCTTCCAAGTTAGAGGCTGAGTGTCAGAGACTGCGGCTTCTGCTGCAGAAAAGGTTACCTACTACTTCTAGTTTGCTGAGAAAAGAGACAGATACAACAAGAAGGAAGCCAAGTCCCGCAATAGGAAACCATCCTGATGCGTCTGAAATGAGTATCAGCTCGATGATCAAACGCTTACAGGATCTGGATGAGGAAAACATGGTTCTCAAAGGAATTTTAACTGAGAAAAACACTGAACTAGATTCTTCAAGGTTTATGTACGCTCAGATAGCTTCTAGATTATCACAGGCTGAGATTCTTCTGAGAAAGCACTTTGAGGAACACAAGTCCATGGAGCTCGCCACGTGTCATCCCACATCAGACGAACTTTCATCACTAGCAAAGTCCAAAACTGCTCGTGATAAAGGGGTTAGCTCTTCAGGATCTTGGGCACTTGTTTCTGAACTGGAACATTTAGGAACTGAAGATGCTAGGGACCAAAAGGACAATAAAGACATTGAAGGTCCTGATCCGAATTCGATAGACAATTATGTTGAGATGGAGAAGCGAGCTATAGTTTCTGTAGATACACCTAACAGAGGACAATGCTCTGATATAATAACTGGAAGGGAGCTAGTGCCAGTTGAACAAGATCTGCACTTCAGTGATAGCAAACAAGAGACTCAATTCAAATATGCAATGTTTGAAAAATCTTTTGATTGGCTTCAGATTGTTTTGAATGCGATCTTGGAGCAGGAGCGAATATCAAAACGAAGTCTTGATGAACTCTTTGAGGACATAAAAATTGCTCTGGGTAGGATAAGTCACCCAACATCCTGCAAATCGGAGTCTTCTGATGTTAGTAATTTAAGTGGTGTCGCTGAATGGAAAAACAATCCACATTTCAATGTTAATTTGAGCAAGTCAATTCATAGAATTATCAAGTTGATCGAAAGAATTGCTATCAAGTCACTAATCTACAGCACGTTTTCTGACGATAGCTTGGAGAAGAACCAGCATTCTGAGATATCTCAATCGCCACCATCCAAAGAATACTTTGTTCATGTTTTAAAATGGAAGTTTATGGACTTGAATCCTCTTCTGCATCGATTTGTTCACACTTGTAAAGATTTATTAGTTGGAAGAGCTGATTTTGAAAAGTTTGCCGAAGAGGTAGCATTTGCTTTGGACTGGAGCATAAATCATTGTGACACTCCTACAGATGCTTCATTTGCAAGAGAAAGGATTAAGAACCATTTTAGCTGTCATCAGTCACAAAATGAAGAGTCTGTTTCTTCCCTTTCAGATGCTTCTCCAGATGACCAAAGTGCGTTATTCCTAATGAAGAACAATCAGTCTGATCACATAGAAGAAAACCAAAAACTGAATGATGAGCTGACAACTAAAGAATCTGTAAAGAAAAACTTGGAGGCAATGCTGTTCTCAGTATATAAGGAAAATGGGGATTTAACTCAACAACTTCAGGAAGCGAAAAGCAGCATTGAAGTTTTGCAATCGGAACTGGAGGCAATAAAAGAGTCCAAGGGAATTATTGAAGATCAGTTTGAAAAGCAAAAGTTGATAAATGAAGATCTTGATACACAGCTTACAATAGCCCATTCTAAGCTAAATGACATCTTTCAGAAATTCTCATCCTTAGAAGTTGAATTGGAAGATAAAAAGATCTCATGTGAAGAATTGGAGTCAACATGTCTTGAGCTTCAACTACAACTAGAAAGGTAAGGATCTTCATCCTCTTCTCTGATTTTCTTTTTTCCTCTGCAAAATAATAATTCTGATTTTGTAAACATTCAAATGCAACAGTATTGTGAAGAAGGAATCTCCAACACCTGGCAGAGATGAAATGGAAAAGATATATCAAACAGTAAGTAGTTCACTTTCTGTTGAATGGGATGGATAGATTTGCAGTGTCTAAGTTAAGCTTTTGTATTCTAAATTGATGCCATTGACTCTGAAAATAGATATTCTTGTTCTGTATGTTCTGATGGGGTGTATCATTTGTTTGACAATAACAATTTCAGATTAAATGACACAGACTTTTTGAAACCTACCCACATCCTCTCTTTTATCAGTTTAATAGAGCAGAGGGTTTCTTGTAAGCCGAAGTAAATGTATATTCCTTGAAAATTTTTTACTCTTGCTTTTCGAAAATGAAGATTGCTACTTAACATGTCCCAAGTTCAACTTGGAATAATATTTCAGGGATGGGAGATAACAACGGCATCATCAAAGCTGGCAGAGTGTCAAGGAACCATATTAAACCTTGGAAAACAACTAAAGGCACTTGCCTCTTCCAATGAATCAGCACTTTTTGAAAGAATTATGGCCATTAATCCAACCCAAAAGAAGAACTTGATCAGGCGATCATCTCTACGCAGTCAAATGCAAGCCGAGGACGAAACCAAAGCAGGGATCCTCGCGTCCCCTCAGATAGAAGAAAATGAATCAAGTAAAGATGTTGAGAAGCCACCTATTTTTGATCTCTCAACTAACAGCGGTTTTCTAAAAGATCTTAATGCCATGGTCAGTGAACCAAAAAAAGACCTTACTTCAGAGCAAGATGACAGAAAAGCTACTAAAGGTGCCAAGGCAATTGTAAAGACTAAAAAGCAAGGAGCATTTGAATTTCTAAGGAAACTGCTGCTAAGAAAGATGAAATTTAATAAGGGAAAAGGAAATAGAACCTGACCCAGGTGTTACTATACTGATCATTATATGCTTTGACAGTTCTTGGGTGGTCTTTTTTATGGAATTGGAGATGGTTGAAGGTTTTGGTCTTGAGATTTTGATGGGAGAATTTTTACATTGTAGATATTTACAAAAATGTTGCTTAGTTGTTTTGATACATGGGGTGTAAAAGGTGAAGAGCTGCGGATATATGGAGAGGTGAGTTTTGTTATTGTTGTGCACTCAAATTTTTTTGGCTGAGTCTTGCTTCTTTTTTCGTCAAAAAAAAAAAAAAAAGGATTCCTGGGTTAGCGGAGTCTTGCATTTGATTTGATCAACGTATTTGTTTGTAAATTGTAAGTATCACAACTTGAAATTCAGGGGAAAGATGACTCTTCTATTTTGAGTGAGAGGGCAGAACTTAAGAAGCAATATTTATTAGGCAAGCAATTCGATACTTAATTTAGTGCAACTAATAAGAATAAGCCCAATTTGATGTTGCTTGGCTTCATGTATCAGCACCTTTTCCCAACCAAGAACTCGTATTCAAGTCTCAAGTAACTTATAGGAGTCTCCTTACTTTTTAAGGGTATTTTACTTGCCAAAAATATTGAGGCATGTTCAACATTATTAATCTGAGTAATTAATTTATCAGAAAAGTTTCTTATTTTCTTGTTCGTCGGGCAAGTTTTTCTTATGGCTAAATGGTGATGCAGGGGGAAATTTATTATAAGCTAAAATATCAAAGCAAACAAAAAATGATTATTATATATATATGCACAACAAAACAATACATTTGTTTTAATTATGAATATGAAACTTGGTATGATCAGAATTAATTAATATAAAATTTATTATGAAATGCACTATTTATAAAATTATGAATAACATAACTTTTATTCGATTTTATATAGGCTAATCAATTATTCAGGGAAAGTCATTAACCGGTGCAATGAGGCAGGCGAGTAAGGAGCATGTGGGGCAGGCCATAAGCTCTTAAAACCCTAAACCTATTGTTTTGGAAAGAGCAAAAAAAAAAAAAAAAACCCTAAACTTCGTTTTGGGTTAATGGGTTCTCCTGTTCCAGTAGGAGTATAAGCTGCCCCTGTTTGGCCGCACAGCTTTCCTTTGAGGCAATTACACTCGAAATTGGTGATTTCTGAGAGTGCTCGAAGGGATCGCAGAACACGGCACTTGAATAATGGCCCAACCGCAGCAACCAATGGAACAGGTTCAGTGCTTCGGCCGCAAGAAGACCGCCGTCGCCGTCACTCACTGCAAACGCGGCCGTGGTCTCATCAAGATCAATGGCTGCCCCATCGAACTTGTGCAGCCGGAGATCCTCCGATTCAAGGCTTTCGAACCTATCCTCCTTTTGGGCAAACACCGTTTCGCTGGCGTCGACATGCGGATCCGCGTAAAAGGAGGTGGTCACACCTCTCAGATATATGCTATCCGCCAGAGTATAGCCAAAGCTCTCGTCGCTTTCTACCAGAAATACGTCGATGAACAGAGCAAGAAGGAGATTAAGGACATTCTGGTTAGATATGATCGAACACTCCTTGTCGCCGATCCAAGGCGCTGCGAACCCAAGAAGTTCGGTGGTCGTGGCGCTCGTGCTAGGTTCCAGAAATCATACCGTTGATTTTTTCCCCCCCTTTTTGTAGGGCAAAAGGTGTTTGTGTCAATTTCTTATTTTCTTTACGTTTTCCGGTTCTTAGGTTCATGCTGTGAACAATTTTCGATATCGACTTATAGTTCCATAAATTTTGGTATTTCGCTTGCGTCTTATTGAGATGCTTTTCAAGAGTCAAACTTGTTATTAGTTCAGGGATTTAGAGCTCTGGTTTATTCTGCTCATAAATGGTCACATAACCTTATTGAGTTGCTTTTCATTAGTTTTGTCTATAAATTCTTTATCTGCTTCTTGATTATTGTTTTATTTCATAGTACTCGTCTTTGATGAATTGATTTATAGTCCTCTAGACACATGATGTGCAAGTATGTTGTAGGGCCCATAATTATGATGAAATGGTCTCTATGCGAAGTTAACTGCTGCATCACAGAATCTTAAGTTTGCAATTTAGTTTACTTTCACTCTTTCAGAGTAGCCTATTTTACCACTCTAAAATTCATTGGGAAATAGCAAAGATTCAACCTTTGTAGCTCATGAACTCTGTATGAATTGGATCAAAGAGGGGAATTGGGGCTGTCAGCTGTGGTGTAATGACTTGATTAGTGTTTAGTGGGCTAATTTAACTAAAAAAATTCATTTAAAAAAAAAAGGAGGAGGATATAACATGCTTGGTTCAAGTCCAAGAGCAGGTTTCAAGCGGCTTAGACCGAGCCTGTCTGAAGCCAAACTGATCGGCTTGGCATATACAAAGCTGAAGCGGGTTTTATTGCATATCCACTCCAGTCGGTTCATCTTAGGTTGGTTTGATTTGGTTTGTGGACTGGTTTGAAATACCCTTAGCTTTAAGTACCCCGATGGTTGATGGTAAGTGGGGCTAGCTGTATGGCTTTGTTGGTGGGCATGTAGGTAAATTGAATGTGCTCCAGATCATTGAGTACCAAACCTTAAAAAGAAACCTCCGGAAGTGATGAAATTGCCTTTGTGCGGTGACTTCTCGTTGAAACTTAAGATAATGGAGTGGTTTGCTGTCCTTTTCTTTTCAAGACGCCAACTCCATCAAATCAGGGGTGGTTGGTTGGTGTTTGCCCTAAACATGGGCGATGTATGCCGCATGGAGCTTATCTTTCTGGTCTTTTTCTCCTCGCATTCTTGCATTAGCTACTTAGTTGATCTGCAAACGTCATAGTTTCTTCAAACACTACAATGTCCTATGCCTCACGTTGTTAATTTCATTACCTTTTTTCTACTTTATTTTGCTCATTGACTGCACCCTTCATGTGTTGCTTTCTATCCCTTAAAAAAGTCGAATACGATGTGATAGATATGCAAACGTTCGCCTGTCTGTGAAGTTGGCTTACGGTCGGGGAAAAAGGTCTTGTAGATGATTGTAGAAATGTGATATATATATATATATGTTTATATTCTAGATTATTGGATGTTATGTTACATTTTATTGAACATATAAGCATCGCCTAAAAACGTAAGAATGCGGAAGATAACATGTTTCCAGCCGCTGCCAACTGTTAAGATTTCGTGTTTTGGAAAGGATGCTTCTACATTCCTTTAAATATAATGCCAAAGGTTGCTTCCTACAGCCCAGGAAGCATGGGATGATATTGGGTTATGAAGTTTCTCATGGATCGTGTATCCAATAATCAAGGGATTGTGTTGATAGAGCAGGTGCCACAAATTGTGGTGGATCATTCATGACTTGATGTGACATGCTATGCCTTTTTGTGTATATAAGATATTTGTACTATTGACATGGCTATCCATGGGCAGCGGCGGCGGTGGATTGATTCTGCGTTCTATAAAGTATTTTTATGCTTTTATTAGTTACTTTTAATATTGTATAAAAAAAAGTTATTTCTAGTATGTGTCACTGAAATTAAGAAAATTTTTAAATGAAAACATTTTTATCTGTTATAAATAAGATCACAAGAAAATTGTCTTGTAAAGCATTAAAATATCTTTGAAGATGATTAGATTTCTCTTTAATTCACAATAACTTGGGATTTAATCTAATAGAGACGGCAGCTCTTTCATAGTTGTATAAATTACATCATCTGAACGATCGAGTCAATTCATCATCAAAAATTAAATAGTATTTCTTCAATCTTAAATATAAGAATTAGGACCAAAGGGCTATGATAGAGGAAGATCTTTTATCCATACCAAATTCAAAAATTATTTCTGATCCATTCAAAAATTCCTTCTCTTTTTTTTTTATTTTTAAATCCATTGTTTCGATTAAAAATTATGAAAATTACTGGGGAATACCGTATAAAGTTAAAATGTCATGTGGCGCGAAGGGCTAGAGGTAGAGGTAATGATTCATTCGGTTGGGTTTGGTTCTGACTTTGTGGCCCGCTGGTCACTGCATATTCCCGCCACCCACCATTGACCTGAATGTGGCTTCATTTTATATATATATATATATATATGCGCATTTATTCCGGCAAATTAATTATTAATCATTCTTGTTAAAGTTAACATTTTATAAAGGAAAATTATGTGAAATTTTCAGATATTATCGTTGTTAATTGTATAAATCTTCTGGACCGGCGTTGTCATACTTTACGAAAAATTAAAGACAATCCATTTATTCTCTCTGTTTGTTTTTACTCTTTATTGACCGGAAAACATTTATTACGTTTTCTTCTTTGTATTTTGACAACTTAAGAACATATATGTAGAGAGTCAACATCAACAAGATTTGAAGAAAAAAAAATGTTTCTGCAATTGTGTGTTTGTAGATTAAAAATAATGCGACCCATGCTAAATTTTTATATTGCATGTTAGTGTAAAATTATAAATTTAAACTAGTTATAATTATTTATGAAAATAAATTATTTAAGCAATAAATTATTTGATAATAATCTTCAGTTGAAGTACCAGTATCGATTCCCACTGAGCACACAAGTCAGCATTCACAATAAACTTGAGGAGGTTTTTATAATATAATATAAAAAGGCACGAATGGGGAAAAAAAATACAGGTCGGTACATTTTTAAGTCCTTTTATAAAGAAAACTTCTGTAGAGGGAAATGACGCGGTGTGCAAGAGGGTACAACGAACTCAGCTGGTCCGACGGCAGAGAGTGATGCCATCACCGACGGGAAGCATGCAGATCTCGATCCTAGGGTCCGCAGCCAAAGCCTTGTTGAGCTCCAACACGAAGTCCCTGTAGTACCTCACGTACTTCCTCAGCGGAGCATCGGGTGGTGCCACCACAGACCCATTCCACAAGGTGTTATCGTACCCGATCACTCCTCCCACCTTCACCAAATCGATCAACCTCTTGTGATAATTCAGGTAGTTGTCCTTGTCCGCATCCACGAATATGAAATCGAAGCTCCCATGATTCTTTTCCTGAAATTCAACCCCACAATGATACCACTCTTATCAGTTTGATGTTTTCCTTTTGCCCTTAAAGCTGGTGACGATGGAAATAAGACCGAAACGAAGCTGTGAAGATAAGATGGATACAGAAAAGCTTACATCTTTAACGAGTTCGTCAAGAACAGGGAGAGCAGGTCCCTCTTTGAAATCGATTTTGTGGGCAACGCCGGCCTTCTGAATCACCGGAAGACCCAATTCGTAGTTTTCTTTGTTGATGTCCATGGCCAGTATCTGCGACAATTCCGACCAGATTAAGAATCCGAAAACATTTGAGACATCGATCTTGGTAAAGTAACATGGAATCATTCAGAACACTACAGCACTCTGTTGATGATTGGTCCTTACCTTGCCATCTTCTGGAAGAGCCAGAGCAGTGGCAAGGAGGGAGTAGCCAGTGTAGACGCCAATCTCCATGGTGTTCTTGGCATTGATGAGCTTAAGGAGCATGTTCAAGAATTGCCCCTCGTCTGCTGAGGTTGTCATGATGTTCCTGTTTTTTGTCTTCCATCAATCAGTAATGGATCATCTACCCATATAATCATGCACACAATTTTTCGTATCCTAATCTATTTTGCTTATATAAAGTTTCACAATTTTTCGTCTTGAGGAAGGACGAACCCAAAGCAGGGGAAAAAACAGAGTATGTGAATCTATCGTACCAAGGGTGTTTGGCTGTGATTTCTCTGAGCTCCTTCATGGGTTCGGGTTCTCTTGGATAGACACTGGTCTCTAGAATGTACTGCACACAAAATCACATGATCATTTATACCAGAACAAAGAAGAAGAAGAAGAAGAAGAAACTCGTTGTGTGGTGTGATTTTCAAACGAGTAATTTGAAATTGGGGTACCTGATAGAGAGCATCACTCTGCAAAAGGCTCTTGTGGCCGACCTCCTGGTGCCTTCCCGCTTCGCTTTGGCTTTGATCCGCCATGACTTCAAATCCTTTTTGCTTCCTTCCTTCACCTCTCTTTTCTTTTCTTCTGCCGTGTGTTTTCAGTTGTTCTTCCACGGCCTTGGGGAGGATGGCGAATGCGGCTGGTATAATATATAGGGAGGGAAAAATGTCCGGTTTGAATCGGTGCGGGAAGAGATAGGGAAGTAGTGGTTGGCTGAACCGGCTGCCGACCGGGTGCGGTTGGTGAGGTTCTTGGATGGCATGAATGTGGGCCCAGCAATATTGGACCCTCACCACCAAACCTTTTAAATAAATGAATCTTCATATAATGTCTTTTTTTCGATTTTCGTTTTTTTTAATGATATTAATTGAAAAAAACTAGCTTATGGAAATATGGGTGCTTATGATTTTTTTTCTTTCCTTTTTTAATACAGGAGAGTGGAGATGTTGGGAAGGGAATGAGAGAAAGGGGATGAGATGTGGGAATGATATGAGCATGTGGTGCTGACGTCGGAAGTGATCGTGCGTATGAAGTTGGTGTGGGGTTGGTGAGGGCATTTTGGGGAGTACAATTCTGACAAGAGTTGGCCATCTAATATCTAATAACGTCTTAAAAGGGCTTTAGTTTATTAAAAAAAATAGAAAAAATGAAATAACCCGGTTAAAAAATATGATTATAGTCAGGTCTGTTTAAAATCATATCAACGTGCTTTTAAAATGGAGATTCCGGGACCGTGATCAAAATTTATGGGCTACCTAATCAAATTATATAAAGAAGAAGTGCCTTCAAAAAAGGCTTGGACGGAAACAGAGAGGTTTGGTGAAAGCTTGGCGTTGTTTTTATTATTTTATGCATATTTCCCATGAGCAGAGCTATACTAGTTCTTTGTTTAAATGGTTGACTTGTCATAAATTTTTGCCACTACATGGTTACAAAAGGAGATTATGTAAATTTATAAAAAACAATAATGATAAAAAAATTTGCTCTTAACCGGGGGTAAGGGAGAGTGACAATTAATTAAAGTGTTTATAAAAATATTAATATAAAATCAAGACTTAAATTTCAAACTCAAATTTCTGTATTTACAAATTAAAGGTACTCATTTTCTATTAATAGTACTTGTTAATAAATTGTCCTATTGTGATTACTAGTACTCCTCTGGTTTTTAATATATGACCTAATTGTTGAACTGATCTTGATCCTAAATATAAGATCTATTTATCATATTTATCAATTTTTTTTCTAAATTATCCATATTGAAACTCCCTTGATCATAATCAAGTAGGATATATAAATGGAGGATATTAAGAAAGATGATTATGGTATTTTAGGAAAAACATGTCATATTTCTTATAACTAACTAACTTACCTAACTTCTTTATTATAATCAAATTAGTTAAATAGATCTTATATTAAAAACCAGAGGAGTATTTGTAGTTGTGATGTTGTCCACTTTCTTTTGGCATAACTCTACATTTTAGGGGATGGGGGTTAAGGTAATTGATGAGCCATTAGAATCAAACATACTCACAAGAAAAATGAAATGCACATGATGTATGTAAGGGGAATATAGGGTGGGCATGAAAATAGGCGAAAAGGGGAGGGAATTAAAGAGCCCAGCCTAGATAGCCTCTCTGCAATTTAGGAGTGTTTGGATGAGTACCAAACTATAGTTTTAAAAGTAATTTTATGACATGCGAAGTAAATATATGAAAAAAAATTTCTCAATTTATAAAAAGTGCTTTTAATAATTACCAAAACCTAATGGTAATGGAATACTGCATACTATGTATAATTATTTTGAGAAGCTCAGAAGGAGGAGGAGAAAGAAGCGGCGGGAGTGGATAAATATTAATGGATTTCGTTAAATGGGCTTATGGATCATATTGGACTACAGGACCCAAGGCCCAATATAACCCCAGTACACACTCTTAACAACACCCCACGTGACTTCCTGGGCCCATTACACACCCAAATACACGCACCCCTAGTTGAACTTCATAGCATGGTGCTCCCTCCGGGTGGACCGTGTCTGTGCGTACTAGCACCTTTTGAACCATATCATAGGAATTCTTATTAATATTGCTTAAATTAGCCATAAATGTGTCGTCTTTATATGCTATTTTTTCATCTTAACCAGTCACCTATCTGTTAATCACCCATCCAACAAAGTTTTGAATAAAAACAACATTCATTATGATTATTAACTTCAATTTAGATTAAAAAATTAAGTATTAATTAAGGGTGTCTCCAATGCAACAATGCGTTCCACAAAATAGATGTATTACACACACATAAGACATTTCTTGTGATGTCTTAGTCATTTTTTCAATAAAAAACAAACCTTATCGTGTAAATCAAGGGTCTGTTTGGCTCAATGAGAAAATCGAAAAGTGAGAGATTTTAATAGAGGGAATGAAAGGGAAGGGGAGGAGTGGAGAGTGAAAGAATTTTAATATTACTTTGTTTGGATTTATAAAAAAAGAGAAGCAGGGAGAAGTTTTAATATTATCTTATTTGGTTCATAAAGAGAGAGGAGGAAAAAATATTTTAATATGGACAATTTTGCCCTTATTTTATTTAAGATTATTTTTTCAAATTTTATAGAATGTTTAATAAAATAGAATTGTAAATAACATTTAATATATTAAACAATATTTATACCAAAATTCTAATGTACTTTAGAGCGTGAAGTATTATTGAAAAGAAGACTAAAGTAGTGTTCAGCTACAACTTGTACTGTATCCCATCTTTGAATGAAATATTTGGTTAAACAAATAAGCTCATTAGATGTGGAATCTCGTTTTCATCTATTTTTATCTTTATGGCTACAAAGCTCTGAGGATTTAAATTTTGACATATATTGACATATATTTTATATGTCAAAATTTAAATCCTCAAAACTTTGTTTACTGATTTGTCCATTTTATCTTTTCAAATTTCACATTTACATGCAAATGAGAGAGCAGCGTCTGGAGACAAAGAAAAGAATTTAGGGTAGTATATGGATATTAAAAATAATGGTCACAACATGACAAAATATTACTATTTTCCTCTAAATCCTTCTAATTTTAGAAGGGAGGTTGAGGAGTCTTCCCCTCCTAAAATTTATGTGTTGCCAGACAAGGAGAAATGATTAAAATTCTTTTCCCTCCCTCTCCTCCAAATCCCTTGTACCAAACGCACCCAAGAGGTTTAGGTATTTATATATATATATATATATATATATATTCGCATTACTCATTCAATGAGTGATTATATTGTTCCTAAACGTCATTCCTGGGGAGGCTTATCCAACAATGCATTCAGTTCAGATGGAGCAGAGCCCTTCTCTGTCACCCTCCGTTTCTGCTTCTTCTGTAATCATTATCTTTCAAATCTTCAAATACCAAACCTACAATAATTTAGTCGCTCTGGCTGCTTAATATTATTTTTTCTGTGCTAGATATACATGATGTATATCAGGACATAGATGAGAGCAGAAGGTGTACGTACGTTAATTAGAGAATGGAAAGGAGGTGGTGGGGGGTTTCTTCATGTTTCAGTTTCTGCTGTCGGTGTTCCACACGCTTTTTATGCACCGCCATAACCTTTTCTTCCTCTCTTTGGCGTCTTCTTGTTTGCTTCCCTACTTTTCCCTTAAGCCTTAATTCCTTCCATTAATTCCCCACAATTTATTAATATTTTTGTCTTCTATCCATCTTCTTCATCAACTCTTCTCAACTTCATTTCATCATGCATGCTCGACTTGACTACTTTCCCTTCCATAGTACTCCCTCATTTCCTAATCATGCATATGAGCCAATAGAAGACCTCAATTCATTTCATTTTCATTCCTAAGCTATTAACATTAATTAAAGAGTTTTTTTTGTGTGTGTAAGTTAGAGCCTACCCAAATTATTTTGAATTTGAAATTAATCTTTGTCAAGTCTGGAGTAATAAGGTTAAAGCCCTCTAATAAGTACATTTTTTGGTATTCGAACTTGTGTCATTCTCTTTATAAGAATTAGACTGCTTGATTACCATTTCAACCAATTACTTGTTGGTTTAATTAAAAGAAGGTTTTTATTCAACAAGAATAGTTAAGGAGTATTTTAAGAAAATTAGCACATATTTTTACAAATATTTGACTTAACTAATTGTATTAATAGTTATAAATCAATTATCTAACTCTTTTATAGTACATTTCTTTATGTGTTTCTTCATGACTTTATGGGGGGGGGGAAACCATAGATATGTTTTCATTAATTTATTGAAAAAGCTCATCAACCTTTTAGTTTGAAGGTGGCAAAAGTTGGAATAAACAGTATTAATTAGTTTCACATATTAATTAGGAGGAACCATTCATCCAGCCTCGAAATTCCACAGGAAACTAGCTAGCTACAGGACTCACATAGTCACATGATAAACACTTGCTACCTTTTCTCCTTGTATTCTTGAAAAAAGTTGGCCTTTTTGGGGAAAAAACAGCCGTTTGTAGATTATTACTCCTTTGCAACATAACAACAAAACCATTTTGTTATATATATAACTTGTTCTTCCACGTCGTCTGGCTGGCTATGGAACACAAGCCCTCCTCTTCCTTTCGTGAATTGATCGGTTAATTAGGGATATTGTAATTACAAATCGATTTTTCTTTTCACCATAAGGACAATACTCAGGTCGAAAGTGTAAGCAGAAAAGCTTAAACTGCTTGTAACCTCAGGCCGATAATAATATAAAACTCTCATATATATAGATACCACACTGGCTCTTTGCAATAAGATGAAACCAATCGCATTTCCTCTACGGGAAGGCTTTTTATGCCATCATGGCACCCTGCAATTAATCAAAAATACAAATTAAATGAGAAAAACTAAATTAAAGTGTGGCCAAAGAAGGAAAATAATCATATATATAGTGTGTCACCATTGAAAAAAGAAAGGAAAAGAAAATGATGAGCCTTAATGATTTCGTCATTTACGCATTAAGCTACTGTAGTAAACTAATAATTAAGTAAAATCATTAATCACTATAACAAGAATGGTGCATTTATTTCTTTTGACTGATCAAAGATATGTATCTTTTCCTCCTTACCTTGATCAAAGATGCGTGTTATATTGAAATATATGTCTAAATGAATAGATTGAACCGATTGACTGTAATTAAAAACACTACAAAGATTGAAAAACATAACATATATATGTTCGACTTCAAACTAATATAATTAATTAATCAAAATTCTCTAGCTAATAATATCATCTATGTATATGTATAAAAAGAAGGGGGAAATTTCAAAAAAAAAGAAGAAGAAGAAGAAGGATTATTCCTTAGAAGGTAGAGTGAGAAAATGAGAAACCATGTGGGACCCAGACAGATATGAGAGAAGAAGCATAGGGTGCAGCTCGGTGCAGAAGCTTAACAAAACTCAAGCGTTCTTACTTTTGATGCGCAGTAACCGCATTGGCTTATCATTGTATCTTGGTGTCTTCTTCTTCAACTTCATCATTTCTATTATTTCCCTTCTCTTCTTTAACACCTCCCTCCCTCGTTTATGATTATCTATATACGCATATATACACATATATATATAAACAAACGCCTCGTTCTTCCCTTCTCTCTCTATCTCTCTTTAGAGCGATTGAAGCCATGTCTGAAGAGAAAGAAGCTCAGAAGCAGCAGCAGATGGGGTCTTTGGAGACTCAGTCACCGGGTCTCTTGAATCCCGACGAGAAATCATCAACCATGGCTCCATCTCCGATCATAGGAACCTCTTCCAACAACAATAATGACCCTCTCATTGCTGATGGTCAGACCCAACAAGCCGTCGACGAAAGAGTTAATGCTGATGAAGGTGATAAGGCGGCGGCGTCGATGAGGACAGCAAACCGAGGAGGAAAGAAGAGGATTACTGGTAAAACCACCGGAGGTGAAGGGAAAGATGGGAACGGAGCTGCTGGTGGCCGTGAAGCCGCCGGTGGTCACGATATGCACATATGGACAGAGAGAGAGAGGAGGAAGAAGATGAGAAACATGTTCGCCACCCTTCATTCGCTGCTTCCCCAGCTTCCTCCTAAGGTAAATCAATTGATTACTTAACATATATGGGATACATGTTGATATTTCTTGATTCGTCTTCGATCGAAGTTTTGATCCATGGGTCGTGACTGAATATTGCGGTTCTAAATCATCAATTTGCATGACGTTAATTACTTGATCGCTTTCTTTTGGGTAAATTTTGATTTGTTCAGAGTCCTTAATTTCATATAATTTCCTTTGTCAGAATGTCCATAACACAGCCAGGCTCATTCTTAATCACGTAGCTCTCAGACTAACTCCATTCTCTCAGCGGTTTTTCTCAGAATTAGTTCTCCCCGATGAATCTTCGTTACGAAGGAGAAATTACTATTCTCGATCTCCTCTGATTAGCGAACCCTAACCCCATTGAATGAAGATGCTTAAAAGCAATTAGCATTGTATTATCTTCCCCAACTTGGGCGGCTGGACCAAACACATAGAGGATGCCGTCAATCTATCTCTTTCTACACACACATCTTACTATGCAACTATATACACATATTGAATTTCCTTTGCCTGCTTGGAAGGAGCCTATAAGATTCTTCTGGTGCTGTTTTACAGTTGAAATACCGGCTTCTTTTACAAATGGGGATTAAAAAAAACTATGCAATATACATATATAATTAAGCAAATGAAAGTTATGGCCTTTTGAACCCCCTTATGGTGTCCATGTGCTTCTAATGAACCAGAACTATATATATACATCATGTTCTCAACTTGGGGTTCTTATGGAGCACAACAAAATGTTTAATCTTTACGTGCTAATAAACACATATCAAATAAACACATGCTTCTCATTGTCTCCATTAGTGGAAGGTACCTGGCTATGGCAATCAAACTATTGACCACTCCAAATAATTTGACTGCGAATTCCTTTAAAATAGAATTGTATTCATGATATATTTAATGACCTCTATAGATATATGCCCCTACATAGGCGGCCAAAACTAAAGCACGCAATGCAGACACACACATTAATGATTTCATTTAAATTGCGTGTAGTTTGTGTCCTATGATTACTTTTAACATATGCAATTATATACAGCAGTCCAGAATATGTTAATTGCTTAGTGGCTATTGTATTTTCATTTCGAGAACATTTATAACAGAATGGAGATACATTGTTTTGTGCAAATTCACAAACTTCACTTTAGGGAAAGATGATAGGAATAAAGAATGACCACATCACATTCTGTGCTCATAAAAAAATGAGCATTTAATTTTCATCTTAATTTGCATCATCTTAATTGATTTTGGATGGTTTAGATTCAATTTAATTTTTATTTCTTATTTGATTTTTTTATTTTAATAGTTGTAGAATTTAAAATAAAGATAATTTGCTGATTGATATTTCTTAAAAAATAAATTTATTATTAAAAATTTTAAATTTGAATTGTTCATGTCATATTATGGATTATTTGTATTATTTCATCATGAGTGCTCATCTCAGTGATAAGCACATAGGCGAAGACGAATTCAAGAAAAAGAGAATATGTTATCAGCTTGTCACATCTAAATGTGTAATCGACACTCATTCTAAAAGGGTAGAATATATAAAGTCATGAAGGAATAAAAGATAAAAATAAATCTTATATCAAATGTAATTTCTTAAACTTTTAAATCAAGACATAATATCAAGTCCACTCGTGCATATATTTCTCTTAAAAATTAATAAAAAATAAAAAATTGTTAAGATATACCAAGCTCTTTCAAACCCTAATTAACAAGTATTAATGTCAGGCTCTTATGTCTCTCTATACTATAGCATATTTTATATATGTTGTTTTCTAATTGAGAAGCTGTTTTCATATTGTTTCCATATAGGCTGACAAATCAACCATTGTCGATGAAGCGGTGAGGTGCATTAAAAGCCTGGAGATCACACTGGAGAATCTGGAAAAGATAAAACAGGAAAGGCTGAGACAAGCCCAGCTGCAGTCTGCTTCAACCACCACCATTGCGGATGGCGGCCATTTTTTGAGTTTCAACTCTCAGCCGCATCCCACTGTGTCAAGGGAGGCATTCATGGCTGATCATGGATCTTCCATTATCCATAATTCAAGCAATAATAACCCCACAAACGCTATTACTATTGGAAGTTCAAATTCACTATCACTTCCCGGAGTTGTGAATAACCCAGTAGGGTTTCAGACTTGGTCCTCTTCAAATGTTGTGATCAACATTTGTGGTGATCAGGCTCAGTTCAATGTGTGCTCCCTCAAGAAGCCAGGCCTCTTCACCAGCATTTGTGCTGTGTTTGAGAAGTACAAGATAGAAGTTTTGTCTGCTCATGTTTCTTCTGATGATCGTCGATGCTTTTACATGATTCATGCACAGGTAATTTAATTATTATCAATTTAATATATGTACGTACCCCATCACTCTTTTAACTTTTATACCAGTTTTACAATTCTGAGCGTATGTATATTATAGTGTTTGGTTCAACTTGATATAACACACACACACACATATTCCCTATCATAGTTCAGCAAGCAGGTGAGGTTGTGTTGGATCATTTGACTTAATAAATACCTGTCATTTGAGGATATAAATACACATATATATTTGTGGATTGAAGAGGTTTGGGTGGAAAAGGATTTGGACACAAGTTCATCGTCTTAACAAAAATAAAACTTTGTACTTTGAAGCTCTAGTTGTTCAATGATTACGCGGTTTAAAAGATAGCCAATGGTTTTCGCAACCATGGCAGGGAATTTTGTATATTTATTTGTTCTTTAAATTGATATTCTAGCATGTGGCCTTGGTTTGAACTATTAATATGTCATAATTCCATAATTTTTTTTTTTGGGCGTGAGGGGTGGCCGGGGTATATCCACTTCCAGTTGGTTTTGGCTAACCAATTATCAGCAGTCAAATCACAAGATATAGGGCTACAAAATCTTTTAATTTCCCCAATTAATTGGTCACGGTATATATAGTTGTCTTGTATATTGCATGGAACTTCAGGAATAAATTATACTGTTCATGATTTGAGCAATAATGCAGCTCTTTGTTAATTTTTATCATCAATATTGATATGGTGATGTTTTGAGTTATGGTTATTATGGATGTGCTATATTGCAATTGCTAGTGCTGGAAACATTGCAGTGCACATTGCATGGTGACCTCCTTACAATATCACACATCAATTTGACTGACCTGTACATGACTTGAGGTGAATTTTCATCACTACGTAGCTGCAGGATGATGGTGCAGTTTCAAACCGTGCCACAATCCCATCCAATTAATACAAATATTAATTGTTCAAAAGAGTAATTAGTGTGTGTTGGGGGGGGGTTTAGCTGGGCATTATAGATATTAATTTGTTGATTATCTATATGTTGAAGGCAAATGGAGGTCCGAATGAGTTTGAAGGGGCACTTTCAGCGGAGGAAACTTTCAGGCAAGCAGCTGGAGAAATGACGCTTTGGCTATCTTAAAACCCCATATGTGTGTGTGTGTGTGTAATCTCTCTTGCTGTTTCTTCATCTATGTGACTTGTCTTTTGATGCTCCTGGAAAACAGAACCATTATTAGTTTTCATCTTATTCTCAGTTCAGTGCTTTTGTATTCCGTGGACACTTGCGTGTTTAGGGCTTTTCATGTGGCTACTCTGTCTGAATTCTGATCAATGTCAAGTTTCTGCACTAAAAAGTCAAAACTCTCAGTTGCCATATGTTTATCAGTTTTCTTAATTATTCATTTATTTTATGATTTTTTTTTTGTTAAAGCATAGGTATTCTCTTATTAGAAGTAATCCTATTCGAGGTACTGTCAGGCATTAAATATGGATACCTCTCCGCTACGACGCCTGACAGTACCCAAGAGATTAATCTCTTACCATTCGGATAGGAGGATATTCTGGGTAATCAAAAAAAATATTCATTTATGTGTTCCATTCATCTTGGTTCATCACGTTGGCCCTAAAAATTTGACCAATCACGTTTTGCAAATGTAAGCCCAGAGCCGCTTTTCTGTGCCTTCAAGAGATTGCCGTACCCCTCTTCTTGGACTAGCCACATGATGGGACCCTCTTTCTTTTTTTTTTTTTTTAAATAGTATTTTAGTATTGATTTCCTTTTTCTTTTTAAACTTTTTGTATGCATATTTATAGAATTTATGCCGCTATCTAATTAATAATCACACATCTAAAAGTGGTTTATTTTGATTAAATTTAAACCTGCAAATTTTAAACTAAACACGTGCATATTCTGTTATTTTTCATAAATCGTTCCGTAAATGTACGTACCTTCTGTAAAATTCTTTGTATACAAGAAGGCAATAGGGCAGTCGCACATAATCATTTTAGTTTTTAATTTTTATATTACTTCCAATTTTACTTAAAAAATCTTGTTTGTAAACTAAAAAAGATATTCATAATTAGAACCGAAGGTAATAATTAGTTTTAACGTTACTCGTCCCCTTCATAATTTGACCTTGGATCCGTCCATTGGTTGAAACACCGCCTTCATCAGTTCCCGATTTACCTAACGAGCTTTCACAGAACAATTTTCCTTCAATCTGTACCATATGTACGTGAGTATTTTATCGCTCAACAAAAATTTAATTAAATTTAATTTTCAAACATAATTATCACGTCATATTAAAAAAATTTGAACAATACTGAGACAAAACTTACTGCCAATTCCACAGACTAAATTAAATATGCAATGCCATTTTTTTGAGCTAGGAAAAAACTAATAATCCTTTTTTTTAGGTACAGATATTCTCCTATTAGAGATAATTTTCTTTGAGATACTATCAGACACTAAATATGAACACCTCTCTCAATAAAAATTTAGATCTTAATTTATCATGTCATGGAGGATTAGCCCCCCTTACGAAACACAGGCCTTGTGTTAATTAATACTAAATTGAAGTGGCCAATTAAGCTAGTGCAGAGGCCCAGCCCAATACTCTCCTAAATGGGCCGAACTTATAGTGAGGTCTACTGTTGAGTCCAATATTTCGGTGCGGAAAACTTCTTCCCCTCGTTAAATTTCATGAAACCACGAAATGCGAAACAAACATCCACGAAATGCGCATCGTAAACTCGTGATGTCCATCATGTTCCATTGTGGATTTGACGTACGTCCATTGTTAAACTTCATGAAACCAGCGAACTCTGTGAATCTAGATTTTGTATCTGTTGTTCGATTAAAATTTTAGTAGATTTTTTTTTTCATAAAAAAACTGAAGAAAAAAAATGAAATTTGACAAAGCAAGCATTAAGCACCAACTTTCAGAAACTAGCATTAGGCAACTTGTCTAGAGTCTAAACTTAGCATAATGGTAGTACCAAACATTAAAAGAGAGAAAGAAAAAAAAAACTTTGAAAGGCGATGATGGTCAAACACGGATCCTTTACTGCCACATATGTTTGGGAAGTTTTACGAGCGCAATGCATGGAGGCGGTGATAACATGGTGGCGAAATCACCCATATCAAATACGTATTCTATTTGTGGATAAAAAGCATCAAGCACGTAGTAATGAGGGAATAACAAAGGATAATGGATTGTTGGTGGCAAGCATTACAAGATGATAATAAATCAAATAAATACGACTTAAGTTTAATAGAATGTACTAGTCCGACGTAACGTAATAAATTAATGTTCGAATCTCTGTTAAAAGAAATACCTATATTTAGTACTTGACAGTATCTCAAATAAAATTATCTCTGATAAAAAGATACCTATATGTAAAAAAAAAAATAGAGAAACTATATATCTGTGTGTAATGAAGTAAAGCCAATTTTATTCAAAAAGCAAAAAAGATAGCACATGAAAAGTTTGGGCTGCCTTCTAGACAGATGAGATAGAACGGACTCTAGAAGCCGAACCCACGAGAAACATAACCAAAGCAAAACTAGAGGAAGAACCCCAGTGAAATGAAACGCAAACACGGCACAGACCATTAAAGAGAAAGCAGTGGCAACCATTTGAGGAGGGAGACAATAATTAAGAAGCTGAGTTTGGAGCATCTTGTGTTACATGGGTGGCAGCGACACGAGACATTAAATGAAGAGGGTCCCAAGTGCTGTTAGATATGTCGAACAATCACTCCCCCTTACACATGTGAGTGAATATGTGAGCTTTCTACCCACACATCTCCTTCAACCATCCAAAACAAGAGAGGAAAGCAACAAGCTTTGTTGTGTCCCATGTGATATACCACTCCATATGCTTTTATTCCCACCCCCAACATCCATCCGTCCATCTCTCTCATCTCCTTCTTCCTCCTTCCTATTTCTAAGCCACATACCCTCTTTTCCCATCCCCTTCCACCCTGGGACCCCTGTTCCCTCCCTCACATGTGCCCTTTTAATTCCTGTCCCTTCTTATTCTCCTCCTCCATTTCAACTTCCCTTTCCCCTTCTTCCTCTTGTTACCTCCATCTAGTTCCCACCCAAATATGGTATCCTCTGCACGAAAGCTTATTCTCTTTTCTTATCCATTTGTCAGTCATTGTTTCAATTTATGCCCCTATTTTTCCAATTCGATTGTTATATGATTCTTCACAGCAATCCACACCGACTGCCATTATTAAAAAGCATAAAACGTGTTCCGTTAGGTTGGATGATCTATTTTCTTTGAACAGGACAAGAGGCCATGCGTTTCCAAGCTGAAAATAGTTCTTTCCCAATTATTTTTCAGCCAATTAACTTTTACGTACAAAAGGGAACCAAATTTACATGCACAATTACAGTTGCTATTTACCAGTCTAGAGGACTAAAACTAAAAAATTTCACCATCTTTTGTGTTTGTTTGCAATTTTCTTATGCGGGGACGGAATCAAGAAAATCATGGAGGGTAATCACAAGGGCGCTACGACGACTTCGCTGCATGCAAAATCATCCGAGTTTCCGAGGGAATCTTGTTGAGGCCACGAATCCCGAAGAAGCTTCAGCAACAGTTGCGCCTTCTTCTTCGCTCTCTCCGTGCAGTCGCTCTGCACCAGCAACAGCAGCTGCGTCAGCACCCCCGCCGCCACCGCCTCCCTCTGGCTTTGCTCCGATTCCGAGCACAGTGACAGCAGGGCTCCCGCTGCGTACTCCGTCGCTCTGTCCGACACTTTCAGTATTATCTTCACCAGAAGCGGCACCGTCAGCGCGTGCCCTGCAAACGCCTCGCACCCCGCCGGGATCCGACAAAGCAGTTCGATCGTCGCCAGGGCCCTCTCCACGTCGCATTTCTCGAAATCTGCCAGTCGTTCGATGAGGATCTCCGGTGCTCCGGCTGTCACCGCTTTTTCCCGCGTCTCTTTCACCAGGCACAGAGCGAACAACGCCTTGATTCCGATCTTGAGAGCTCGAGGATACGCGATTGGATTCTTCAAAATGTCGATGACCCCCTCGTAGATTTCGTCCATACAGCTGATGTGAGATCGGAGCTCCGACGAACGAGTCCCGGCCACAACGATTTCGATGAGCGCTGCCGAGTTGACTCGGACGTCCATTGATGTGTGAGACAGGAGGCGCGATAGATACCTGATTTTATCCGGATCCGATGCGACGGAGGTGCATTCCGACTCAGGGAGTGGAAACAACACAAGCAGAGCAAGGGACTCGCGGTTCAGCTCGGAAGAGTCGGAATTGAGTTCGGAGAACACAATATGGAGAAGGATTTCGCGAACGTTGTGAGAGCCAATAAGAGAACGATTCTTGTCCGAGTCACGCGCGAGTCCCTTGAGTCGCCTCAAGGCAGAGATGCGTGAATGAGTCGGAGCCGACTCGGAAGAGACTTGATTCAGCAAGGAACGAACTAAGGTGGGGTCGGCGGGTTGTTTGGGAGTCGGAATACGCTCAATTCCGAAAGCCCGGTTAGCGACGCACCAGTCCTGGATGAGACGGCGAAGAGTGTGGTTGGGAATAAAAGTGAAGTCGGTGAGCGGAGCCCGAGTCACGGGACAGGTGGTGTTGCCGGTGGCTACCCATGATTCGATGCTGGCTCGGTCATAGGTCTGACCAGTGCAGACGGTGACGGGGTCACGCATCAACTCGAGCGAGATCGGACACCTGAAGTGGTATGGAATCTGAATCCCCAAATCCAACGGCTCTAGACTCCCAGGCATGTCTGTCTCTCTCTCCCTCTCTCTCTCTACTAGATTACAAGTTTGTCTCTCTGGGGAAGAAGGGGGGGGGGGAGTGTACTGCAAATAATACTAAAACTGAACGCTCTCTGCAAAATTCTCTATGTTAGTATGTTGCTCTGCTTTCTCTTTATATGAGATGCAACAGAGGGACATACCCTACAGCAAGAGGGCGACTGCCCTCTTCTCTGACTCATCCTCCCCCACACGTGTGTGTGTGGTGCCATTTTTAACTTGGGGCACCTAACCCTGGTTGCCGGCAGCGTGGAGGGGATTGGTCAAATCAAATATATGGCCACTTTGTGGCCCCCACATTTGATGTCTTAAAAATCCTACTCCTGTTTCCATCAACTTAACGTGACCTCTATGTTTTTTTTTCCTGTTATAATTATTGCCCTTCACTTTTGCTCATCACCCCCTCTTCTTTCTTTTATTTTATTTCCTTTCATGTGTCCCTTTCCTCTTTGTATTCATAGCCTTTTTCCTCGTTTATTTTTCTCTCAGCTTTTCATTTGACCCTACCTCGCTCGCTTTGCTTGCATTGCAAGGGGGAAATCAAAACTTTACACTGTTCTCTTGTATATTGAACGTCACAAAACAGATATATATGTGCAGAACATCAATATGTTGTAGCGGAACAAAAGGAACTAGTTGATATTTAAATGATTATTGATTAGTTGCATGAACAGATACACTAAAGTTCTCATCTTGTCAAGCTTATTACATTTAAATTTTTAACTATGTGAAAAAGAGGAAGCAGGAATCCCTTTTCCAAAAGTTAACATCAATAATTGCTAAGCCACACTTTTCAAATATATTAATAATGTAAAGCTTGAATAATATAATTAATTAGCATGCCTCTCACTAACAACTTAAATTCAAGTGGTCCCAATAAATCCAAGAAAATGGCCATGAAAAATTCAGTTGGAGAAATTAAATTATGTAGCCCAACATATTACAGAACATTTTATGGATCTATCATAATCACGCTAAAGTTAATAATCAAACTGGTATCATATTTGAAGTATGGTATGGAAATCCAGAAGCGTAGTACATGGAAGGAGGAGGTGGGGGTGGAAATTTTAAAAAGGAGAAAAGAATGGGGCGAAGGGGGAAATAAAAGGAGAATGATTAGGTTGGGGCACTATTTGGTAATAGTGAGGGGTGGTGAGTGGGGGGAGTCAAAGGTCAAAGATGAACAGATTGCGAAGGAATGTGCGGGTCCAGGCTGTCTCTCCACCCCTTTATTGGGGGCAAAGACAACTTTCGTGTGGATAACAATCACAGGGTGGTTGCTTCCCCTGTGGTCCCTCCGATGTGGACTCCCTTCAACCAGTTCCAGCCGCATCATTTATTCCTTCACCTTTTCAATATCTCTTCTCCCTCAAATTCAACCATGCTACTGTTTCATCTCTCCCAAACTTGCACATAACCCCACTTCTAATTATTTCAGCTCGTCCAATTTTCACATAATTAATCACTTTTAATTCTTCCACTCACTGCTGGACATGATTAACTATTAATTAATGTCGATTTGATATATTCATCGACATATCAAATCCCAAACAGTTCTTCTTTTTTTTTTTTTTTGGGTCTCATACAGTTGGAGAATTTTCAATCCTATAGAGTATAATCCACTGTGCTTGCATCGAAATTTATGCTGATGGTCCATGAACCTCTCAACGACTCAACCAACCATTTGAATAAAGAAACAAGGGGGAAACAAGTTAAAAGGAAACGTAAGGAGTTAGCGTAAGAACAAAAAGAGAAAGAGCGCGCAAAAAGCAATGAAAACCCCAAAAAACTTTTTTTTTTTCTTATTTGTTAATCTGTGTGTAGAGTGGACCTTATCAAATTAAATTTAATTTAGAGTATTGTTATATATCTTTCTAATTAAGGGAGATTTCGTTTCTAACTTTTTGACCCTGCTTCGGAAGAAAATCGATGCAGGTATTATCTGTAGTTATTATATAAATATGTACGCAAGCGTCGCCATAATTTCCCTTACCCTAAATTAGTTTGAAAAATTTTCTTGTCATAATAAAGAGTTCATATAAAATATAAACGCCCAAAAATTATAAATATTTAAAAAAGAGAGAGAAACATGTAAAAGGCGGAAGGAGTTTAAAAACTCGAAAGCTAAGACAGGTTGTAAAAGATGTCCTGTACCAGCTTTGTATAGTTTATATCGTGAAGAGAGAGGAAGATGCTGGTTAAGGGGAGAGAAAAGAACAAGGGGAGGCAGGGTGGCAGACGGTGGAAGAAGGGAAGCGGTGTCGTTTTGGTCAGGCGTGAGGGGAAGAGAGAGGAAGAGGGAAAGCGGCCCTGTTGTCCCCAGTCAACCGGGCAACGTTTTCTCCCTGTGCTGCCAGTTTGTTACTATTCCCCACCAAAAAAACAAAAAAGGTTCCCCGATGCACGTGCACATTGACCCCCTCGCACGTGTTTCCAGCTGTCTTCCTTTCACATTTCCCATTTTTGACCGCGTTTTTTTCCTGCTTTCTCTTCGATCCTTATTCGGTACGAATTCCCAAGTTCACCGTCCGCCTTACTCCACTCTCCAGGTCCCCATAGCATGCACCCCACTTCCCCCCTTCTTCCCTCTTTTATCACTTTCCAAGTTTATTCATAGATCATCTAATCTACGCTTAGCGTCAACATAACATGAGAATGCAAGTATGCAACTGCCCAATGAGATGCCCCCTTTTTGAGCTATCGAATTGAAATAAAATTTACATCTTTTTTAAAAATACTCTCTTCGATTAATTCTCAGTGTTTAAACTCACTAAAAGTTGGATTCCATATTCAGATATAAATTCATTTTATCTTTCATATTTTTTAAAAATTAATGTATCTAATTTATAAATTGACATGCAATCTACTGTTGTGTAGGGATATTTATAGAGATCAAATCATATTTGTTATAATTAATAAATTTATCTCATTTTTTAATATACTCAAATTAATTAAATAGTTTTTATATTAAATATGTAAAATAGTGTTAAAATGTTAGCAACTCTAATTTGCATTCCTCTTGTTTGCCTTGCCAATTTTCCTATCTCTAATCTCTATACCATGAGAATAGAATAGTGAATAGGATCTTGAATTATTACATCCTCTTATTAATATAAGAATTAGTTGATGGGTTATATTTGTTTTTTAAATAAAAGACTTTAATCTACTTTGTTTCTTATTTTTTTCAAAATATTCTTATTGATTGTAGGGGATTTTTACTGAGGAATAATTCAAATCACTTAAAAAGAATAGTTTAGGGAAATCAATACACATTTATGACAAATAATCAATTTAACTAATTTACTTAATATATCTAAATTAGTTATTTACTACCTTCGGTCTTTAACATAAAAGTTGGTTTGACATTTAATTGGTTCTAAATATAAGATTTCAGTTACTTTATCCTTATATCATTTTTAAAGTAGTCATTGTGGTATATGTTAAATGTTCTATGTAGTTCTAGTTATATAAGTCCTATTATAGATTTTTTATTATAAGTGTATATTTATTTTTTTTAATTTCTAATAATGTAGTTAGTATATGTATTTATTTAACTATTAACTACTTCCAATCTCCTCAAATAAGTAGTTATAAGTTAGAAGGTAGTATATGACTAATAAGATAATGCTCTTCTATTAAGCAGGACAGGCAGAAATTTGAAGGAGAAAATTTTACATTTTATTAATGATTTATGATGTGAATTTTGTTTGCTGATATTATTTTAAGGATAAAGAGCGAACACGGCATCGCTAATGCCCAGAAGGTTTTATAGCCCCATCTGGCATCCACCAACTTTGAAATTTTGTAAGTGGATGATCACGTAGGTAAGCATTGTGTTAGTTATATTCCGTTGCTATTTAATTTGCATCACTGTCACATCGTATCCTATTAACAACTAATACTTCCCTAAATTCAATGCTTTATCAACGGCTTTTTCTTTGTCAATTCAGCCACAATAGGGGGGGGGATTAAAGTATTCTCCTTTTCTTTTGCCTGAAAAAAAAGGGCATTGAAGCTCTGCCTTGATATCTTTATAAATGGAAGTTGCTGAATTATCTTAATTATTGGTTCGACAGAGATTAACGTAATGCTGCTTTCTTATTTTAATTTTTATTATTAATTGACACATACACACACCCAGGTAATTAATTAGCTTTATATTAAGATTTGTAAATAAAGTTGAGTTGAATTTTTTTAAAGAAAATAATCAGAATTAAATGAAGACTCATATATCATATCTGAATATAAACAAATTAAGAGTGCATGTAGCTAGGTGTTCTGGACTGGATTCATTGAACGGCATTAATGCGACAGTCCCATATATATTATATTCTCCCCACGACTTTGATAAAGAAGATGGGTTCTGGTTAAAAAGAAGAAGAAGAAGATAAAGAAGATGGATTGTTTATTTAAAAAAAAAAAAAAAAAAAGGCAAGACTTGTTCCCCTAAAGAAGTCTTGACACAGTGCTCAACGTATCTCGTAAAAAGGCCACAGCTCAAATTAAAGATCAACGAGCATAAAGCTACCACAAGTCTATCACAAAGAAGCATCCATAAGCTATAATACTATAGAGTAGGAGTGCTAACAGTAAGGGGGGAAATTTTTTTTTTAAGAAAAATTGAAAACTCTAGATGTTACTTGCTCCACCATTTGTTTCAATTTATAAGACGTTTGTTTAGCAAGCTAGGAGGACCAGTGAAGGCCGATAAATATATCTACAAATCTTAATTTTTGTTAATAAATCTTTGAACTTTCAAAAAATACCCTTCATTTAACGCTAACTCCCAATTAACTCGCACTTAATTAATGAAGAGTATTTTTAGAACAAGATCATCAATGGATTATATATTGTTTTCTCCAAAAATCTTATACTACCTCTGGTCCTAATTATAAGAGCTAGTTGATTAATTTGAAGAGATTAAGAAAAGAAGTTAAGTTAGTTATTTGTCATGAATAGGTGTTGTTTTTCCTAAAATATCTTTACTAATCAAGTATATTGGCTAGAACTGCCATTGTTAAAAGGATTATCTTGGAAGAAAATATATAAATATTAGAGACAAAGTGGATTGGGGTCTTATATTTAGGACCAAAATAAAAGTCAAACGAGATCTTATATTAAGGATCGGAGGTAGTATTACTAAACATGAAGTCATTCGAACTCTAAAAGCTGTCTTATACATCGAAATGAAAGGAGGCATCAAATAATTAACTAGTAGCAAGCTTTGGAGTTAGGAGTAATTAGGAACCCTGGATGAACTGAAAGAAACGAAAGAAGAGGGAAGGGGCTATATATATATATATTATATGGACTAAAACTCGGATTAATTAAAGATGATTTTGAGCGGATGAGGTGTTGGGGAGAATTCGAAAGTGAAGCAGGCGGCTTGGGCGAGGCAGAGAGCAGCATGATAAAATGCAGGGTTCACTTTACAAGTGGATAGCCCAAAATTTAATGCTAATTAAGGAACAGTCCTTAACTTTCCAGACATTTCTTAAATCCCCCAACCACTGGGCCCTCCGCTAGTTGGGGTTTGATTCGCCCTAAAGATTTTCGTCTTTCATTCTGGCCCCCACCGTCCCCAATAATTGAACCCACTTACCATGCCGTTTTCAACCATTTTGCTCTCTTCTTCTCTGCTCGTGCTCTACTGGGTCCCACCTTCTCTATTTTTTTCAACCCTCCTTTCCTCCCATCCCACCAGTGCCTACCTTTTGGATAATCCTTGCCTCCCTCCAAATTCGTAATCACATCATTTTGTTTTTAAACGCACCCACTCACTTGTATCACATATACCTATTTTTAAAACATCATTATTAAATTATAAACTCAAGTAAAAACAATAGGATACATGATCACAAATTATGATAACTGAATGAATAATTTTCCATAATTAATCATTTCTGAATGCACGTGCAAGAATTTAAACAGGAGGAGTATGTAAATCAGCTGAAACCTAACTATAAAATCATGAATCATAGAAATAGTGCTCTGTTGATAAAGTGTGCTATTACTTCTGATCTTATTTATAAAATTTTATTTATATTTTATAAATGAGATTTTATAATATAAACTGAAGATATTAGATAAATGTATATGCATGTTGCTGTGATGCTATCAAACTTGGCAACGGATACTGAAGATCGAAAACTTCAGAAGGAGGGGGGGGGGGAGAAAAAAATGGGGAATCGGTCCATCCATCAGCGACCCCTGACAATCAAAACGGGTCGACAATTTTTTTTGCAAACAAAAAAATCCGGAAAATCTAAACCTCAATCATGGGAGGAAAATGTTGCCCATGCTCTCTTGCTCGCCATCCACTTTAGCTAAAACTCTGATTGATCACACTCAGGGCCTGTTTGGTGTTTCAAAACCGTGGTTTCAAAGCAGTTTTGCAAAACGAGGTAACTTCCTCCACATATTTATTTCATAATCCGTAAAAGCACTTATGAAACTATGGTTCTATCCAAACACTCCCTCAATTCCCTTCATTTAATGGATGCTTTGAAATTTGTACCGATGACATCCCCCCTCACGTCTAACGCTCTCAATTAATCGATCAATCAAGAGTTAATAGTAGTACTCCGATCTTTAATATAAAATATATTTAACTAATTTAATTAGATTAAAAAAGTTAGATAAGTTAGTTAATTATAAGAAATATAATATGTTTTTTTTAAATACCATAATCATCTTTTTTAATATCCTCCTTCTCTTTTCTGTTTGATTGTGGTTGAGAAAGTATTGACAGGATAATTAGAAAAAATTGATAAATATGATAAATATGTTTTATACTTAAGACCAAAATCAACTCAATAATTCTTAGGACCAAAATCAATTCAATAATTAATTCATATATTAAGGACCAAAAGAGTATTACTTTTAGTCCTTAAAATCTCACCTCATTTTAAGTTTGATTCACAAAATTTAAAACTAGTAATTTTAATTCTTGAAATTTAACTTTATTTCGATTCATCTAAAGATTTTTGGTCTGATAAATAAATTTCAGATATAAAAAAATTTTGGGTATTTAAAAATAGTATTAGTCCATTAATTAATATAGTTCTCATTTCACATCATCATATAGTTAATTAATTAAATCAAGCTCGGAGCTCACAATACTCTCATCCCATCCACTCAATATGATAGATATGCTATATTAACTATGATATCTAATTCGAGAAGATAGAGAAGAAATGAGCTGGTTAGATATGTGCGCGGGTTGACCCACTGGCCACTCATATTACTTAACGTCAAACTTGTGAATGTGATATGCATTAGAGAATTATTAAAAGCGTTTCCTTCTCTTAATTATCTTTTGTCTCTTGTTTGGACTCTGAAGGGATGATATCCAAGAGATTAATTGTGGGAATATAATATAAGAGGTGTGGCTACACCTTTTTTAGCTTTCTCTGTGGTCTGTGTCTGGATGTTGCCCTTCTGGTAACACTCTCAGAAAAAGTTGTAACAATTTTTAACGCCAATTCAACTTCTAAAAAGAGGCCACGTATGGCGTATCGGTTAAACAAATAAACAAAGCTTCGAGCTTCAAACTTCAAACTTCAAACTTCTTGTGCCCTACGCACCATTCATATCACGCTACAGCTTCTTTTAAAAATATTTCGTGCATTCCAATGTAACAAACTAAAGCTATTTATCCAAGAATCTATTTTACATATTCTTCCAGTTTTTAATATAGGACCTAATTTTTGAATTGGTTTTAGTCCTAAATATAAGACTCATTTCTCATATATATATCAGTTTTCTTTAAATTATCTCTATAGATATTCTCTCAGCTATAATCAAGTAGAAGAAAGAGGGGAGGTATTAAGAAAGATAATTATGGTGTTTTAGGAAAAATGTGTCACTTTTCTTATAATTAACTAACTTACTTAACTTTCTTAATTTAATCAAATTAGTTAAATGAGTCTTATATTAAGGAGCAGAGGAGTATATTATTAGTCAAAAAATCTCGTACAATAATTTCGTTGAACATTTTCGTCTGCCTTATTCTATCTCCTGTTCAAAATGACTCTACATTGTCTGATTTACTCCTTTTATGACCACTTTAAGAAATCTTTGTAGATGTATATAAATATCCACAGCGCTTTTTTTCTGGCCCAGTTTTTTTTATTTTTTATTTTTGCCCTAGATTATACTGCGGTTGCCTTGTGTTAAACATTTACTACGCCCTATATGGGGTGTAATCTCTTATCATATTTATGCACCAGGCGTGGCTGCTCATTAAATTGCTGACTTACAAGTACCTGAAAGCCGTTACTTTTCTTCAGGCCAAACGAAACCAAAAAAAAAAAAGCCGTCACTTTTTCATGCTAGTTTTTAATATACTCTTTTCGTTTTAAATGTAAGATTTATTATATAATGTAAATTATACACTATAAAATAGGTCTTACGTTTAAAATCGGAGGAGTATTAAATTAATATCCAGGTCAACCATTCATTTTATCAGAAATCAATGGTATTCAAAATGTATGATTCATATATTCAACCATGGCGGTGCAGAAACTATGGGCAGGTGTGTGTGTCTATATAGATATATATATATGTATATATTTATATATATTAAGGCACACATGTTTAGACCAACCCATCAACAATATAATCTCTCTGTTATACAGTGTCTGTGCAACGTGCATTACGATGCAGTCTCTGTAATGTGAAAAATTTTCTTAAACTTTCTCGTGGCCCAATGCTGATGAACATAAGGCCCAAACGCTTACCCAATACTCTGGGCCCAATCTTTTAATTGGGCTGACAAACCATCAGACACTTGTTTAATAAAAATTAATTGCTTTATGCATGTCATAAATAACAATCCACATACCATTAGCTTGTTCATGAAAAGCTCATTTGCTCTATTATGATCCCAAACAAGAAATTTTGGGCTGAGGCAAATTTTGCCCTTCAGATATAGGTTTGCGGTGGCCCGAATCATCTCAAACACAGCCTAAGTGATTGAATTTTCTCATATTAGATTTGAATGGGAAAAAAGATTGATCTTTTTGAGATTACTAATTAATTTATTCATTCAAGAAGAATAGTAAATCTAGCCAAACATATACATATATAAATATATAAAAGAAAATATCTGAACAACTGCAGCACTCTTGCATTTGCAGCTTGCAAGCCTATATAATTCAAATAATTAAACTGCTGAATCTGTTTTTTTTCTACTGTTGATGCAAGTCCTATAATTTTAAACTACTAAGGTAATTAAGTCCAGAAAACAATCGCATGCTAAGCAATCTAAACCCTTCCTATCCTATGCTATCCACAGTGTTTATGAAGAATTCAAATCATATTCACAACCTCTTTTGAGGATTACATCAAAAAATGGTTCCTGGCCATCAAACTTCTCTTTTTCTCTTCTGCTAATGTCTGTTTCTGATCACAATGACACAAACAAGGCCATCGAAAGAGCGGCGAAAACCCACCACAGTTGAATTGGTCTCATATCTCGATGCCCAAAGCTCGAAGCATGTACCGATCCACCGGGGGTTACATCATTCTTAGGAGAATCGCATACTCCGAATGTTGTGTTTTCCTGCACAAATTCATCCAATTATCAGTAAAACTTCTAGGTTACACAGATAGAATATAGATAAACTAAGCCCCGGTATAATTTTGAATAGGAAAAATTTAGTCTTTTTTTAACCTTAGAATCCTTGTAGTTTTTTAATCAAAGAATCGGTCCCTAGAATTATGGTTTAGTCGAGGTTTTTTGGAGATGAGGTGTATGGTAATGGCACATTATTAATAAGGCAATGTTTTTTGGTAATAGTAAGATTTTGACTAAAATTGATCATAACTTCAGAGATTGATTCTTTATTGGAAAAACTATAGAGATCTTGACCCAATATGACGACAATTATATGGACCAAAATCCATGTTCTTTTTTTAAATACTACCTCCGGTTTTTAATATAAAAATTAGTTGATAAAGTTGAGTAAATTAAAAAAATTAGTTATGTTAGTTATTTATAATAAATATATATTGTCTTTCCTAAAATATTCTTACTAATCAAGCGTATTAGGGAGAACTACTATTTGATAAACTTTTAACACGTGTAACTATTACAAGAACTACCTTAAAAAAATTAATAAATATGAGAGACAAAGTGGATTGAAGTCTTATATTTGAAAATTAGGACTAAATTGAAAGTCAAATTAGTTCTTATACTAAGGCCCAGAGGTAGTAATATTCAGTTCTGACATATGTAATTGACTTGTATATCTGAGAACCTCATCATGTGTAAAACGTCTCGACGTATCCTTAATTTCATAACGAAGAAAAACAAAAGAAAAGAAACAGCCGATTTGAATGTAAATATAAGAGGGGGAGTTGCAAGGAAGGCAAAACCTTGCAGGAGGAAATGTTTCCGCATCCACATACTAGATGACCGTTAGCTACATCCACTGCTTCTGGAGCTCCTCCTCCATCACTTCTCTGAATCAGAAATATAAGCAGAAATTCACTATGTTTCACTTAAGATGCACACCCCCATTTTCTATAGCTCCATTCTTTGATAAATTCTTACACAGATTAGGTCCAAAACAAATAAACAGATCGAGTCAATCACAAGGAGACATGCTTATGTGTGGAAAGTGAGTCTCATGGAAAATTATGCTTCAAATGCTCACATGTCATCTAATGATTAATTTGGTAGCCTTATATTTTGTAGACAACCTATTTACCAGGTTTATGCTAATTGTAATACCTTATAGAAGTCAACAGCGATGAAATTAGGCCACCGTTTGCCCGAGGCTTCGTAGCAGGTGTTGATCATGCTAAGCAAAGGAGCAGAATTGTCCTTGCAAGAATGAATTAATTCTGGGACGTCTCGAAAGAAGTTCACTAGCACTAAGGATCTTGATTTTGTGTTCAAGGGTTGTGACTCTCCTCGCTCAGGACATGAGCCAGCCTTCATGCCTTTACTCCCATCTGCAATCTCAAACACCACATTGGAAATTTTCTTAATCTGATGTAGTCTTTGAAGCACTAAAACAAGGATTTCAGGATAGGACTTACACTGGTTTTCTACAAGGTAGCGCCATTCGTAGGCAATCCCTTCAGAAGCTTCCTTGGACGCTTTTGAAGTGAAGACTACCAAACGTTGGTTTTTCTGAATCATATCATCCACTGTTGGCCAATCTTCTCCATTTTTGGGCATTCTGGATACTGGAAACCAGTATTTTCTCAGTCCGGCAGCATCAAACACCTTTGTTAGGCCTTTTGGCGACGTTACATAGTCTTCAATCATAATTGTCACGATCTCTGAAGGGTTAGCTTCCAAGAATGCTCCAATCTCTTTTAGAACATTAATGGCAGGTTGCTATGCAATAAACCAACACATACTTGTATTAGAATCGAACTTAAACGCATATTACTTTTACGTTAGGAGTGGTGTGCATATTATTTCTAGATTAATATCGAAGTTATAGAAGTATTTAGTGTTGCATGATCCAATAAACTGTAGAGAAATCAATCCGAAGAAGCTCTTTGAAGAATCCAAGCCCTGTGAGGTGAATTTTTGTGTTCAGGTGATCCTTTAATGCCAAAAGAAAGAGGAAAAAGAAATCCAATTTTCATACTTACAAAAGCTGTGTAGTTATAGCAGTTGCCACCAAATGAGTGACATAGCCAAATATCATCTTGGAAGTCATACATGTCTAGCATTAAGCCTCTTACTCCGTTCTGCAACACCAAGATTTAAACTTCAGCTTCCAATACCATTAACTTCTTCCATTCCTTGAACTCAATTACTTACCAATATTCAAGAAATCTTGTTCTTATAACCAAATAATTTAACTCGGTTTTGTTGTGTACAGCATTATTTCGAATTTCTTACCTACTCTAATTTAATTGCATTTGATTAAACTAATATAATTTGAACTAACAACATAGTAAAGTCCTGGTCAAAATACACACGTAAATAAATCCCTGTTGTGAGTAATATCCAAAACATATACACCCAGATACTGCTCATACTTTCATCTATTGAATCCCACCAACTTCACAAGCACTTTCAGAGTGAATTTATTATTTCCACGGCAAAGATAAAATTTTTTTTTTTTTTTTGGGGGGGGGGTCATAAAGGAAATGAAGTTTAATCTTCTGAAGCAATAACCGGGAGGCAGAAGCTTGGCTTTCCCGCCAAGGAGAGACATAATAAATAAGACACTACAACCGAACGCCGCCTGGGAATCATTCAGTGTTTTCACACTGCTATGAGATCTATCGTCACAACATAAATTATTTGTGTTCTTGAGTAAGAAGTGGACTTCATTATTCAAAGAAATTACATCAAAAAACAGCCATGGTGATAAAAAAACCCAGGCTGTAAGGTCAGAAATCAAAGTCTATTAGCATTAGTTGCGAATAGAATGAATCCTCTGCGAGGTATTCTTTCCTTCCATTTTTCTCAGATTTTCTTAACCAAACACTATAAGTCTCCAAAAAAGGAAGGGACGAAGATAACCTACATTAAGCTGAGAAGAGATTGAATCCTGCTGGTTCACCGGAGCAAGAACCGGAGAGCCCGTCTGCGATTTCTGCCCCAACATTGCAAACGCATTGTGCGTTGTCAGCCACGAGTATCGATTAAAGGGCAGACCTTTCACCTACTCAAAACATGAACAACATGTCCCAACACAACACCCAGAAAAGTTAACAACTCAGCTCGCTTACGTGTTTGGACGAAATCAAAGAGTGGAAAACCTTGCCTTTGAAGTGGGACTGAAGGGTTGGATGCGTGTACATCTGGGACAAACATTCCCATTTGCCACACACGTCTCGCAGTGCAAACCAGAATCGCAGTTTGAGATTGCCAATAAGCATGATTGTCCCTCCTGACAAAGAAAGAGTTTATCAGAGAGCACTATCATTAATCAGTGAAACAGGACAAAGGGTTCCTAAAAGCATGTGTTTTCAGAGCTAATCTGCACCTTGAGAGCGATGGAAGATCCCAGAAGAAGGAAAAGAAGAACTATAAGAACTGTAGGGAAAGTTGCTCTCTGCAAATGGCAAGTCACTTTTAGAAGAAAGAAGAAAAGAAAAAACAGAGCTTGAAGAAGAAAGAAAGAAAAAGCTGCTTGCCTCCATTGATTGGTAGTTTGTCTAGTGAGGGTTGTGATGTAAAGAAAGTGGGTACGAGAGGAAGATGGAACTAAACGTCTAAACCAGAGCTATGTCGATAGAGCGCGAAGTTTGAATTGAAAGAAGGCAATAACATATAGTTGTCGACCGAGACGTGTGCGCGGCAGACTGCACGAGCAGCAGCTTTTATCTGCCTTCACGATGTTAAGCTTCTGACTTACAAGCTTTAACTACTTCATTTTTTCAATATATATAATATATATATATATATATATATATGTATATATTTAATCCATTAAAAAGAAAAACACTTTTTAGGCCAAGATAAGAAACTTTTTTTTTTTTTTTGACCAGAGATAAGAAGAGCCACTTTGATAAGGCTAGCTCGTTGAAGATGTATAAAATGCGACAAAATATAATACTACCTCCGGTTTTAATATAAGACCCTATTTGACTTTTATTTTGGTCCTAAATATAAGACCCAATCCATTTTGTTTCTCATATTTATATTTTTTTTTCTAAAATAGCCATTCTAACAATAATAGTTCTAGTCAATACATTTGATTAGTAAGGATATTTTAGGAAAGACAATATATATTTAGGACAAATAACTAATTCAATTTATTTCTTTAATCTCCTCAAATTAATCAACTAGTTCTTATAATTAGGACCGGAGATAGTATGTTCTTCGTTTCCTTCTTATGTGATGCAATTTTGGGAGTTGAATTGATTAAAGTCGTAAAAATCAACTATCTATCTATTAATATATCCATAAAGTAGATTTTTTTTTGATCTGAAATCCATAAAAGTAGATTATTTTTTAATCTATTGCATTTTAAAATATTGATTTTATATACATTATTTAGATATAGATATAGAACTTGTATAGGAAATAGCATCTCTATAATTTATCAATGAAATCTTTATAATATTTAATAAACGTGATCTTTTATCATCACATCGCATCAACGTTGTGTTTATTTGATATTTTGATTTCAAAATTTCGTGGCTACATATCTTTTATTACTATTTATCATGCTTAAAGCCAATCCTTTCAATATTTTATTAATCAGTTTTAATAACTATTAATGTACAAATTGTATTCCTTCGATCCTTAATAAACCTAATTATTGAGTTGATTTTAGTCCTAAATATAAGTTATATTTTTCATATTTATCAACTTTCATTAAATTATCTCTATAGATACTCCCTCAATCATAATCAAGTAGAAAATGGAGAAAAAATATTAAGGAAGATGATTATGATGTTTTAGAAAAAACATGTCATATTTATTATAATTAACTAATTTACTTAATTTTTTAATCTAATTAAATTAATTAAATAAATTTATATTAATTACTGTAAAGTATCTTGCGACTTTGTAGTCTGTGATCTGTGATTGATTTCCCTGGCTTCTCCCCTGTGATATTCTCGTCCGCTGCTCCGCTGCCCCCTCTTCTATCTGGAACGGAACAGCTTTTATGTAAAAATAATTAATACTGATCAGTTTTTTAAAAATTTCCATAAAAAGTTTTAGCTAGGGTAAAAAAAAAAATTCTAGCAAAAAGAGTGTTATTTGAATTTTACTTCAACTAAGATTGTGATTTTTATATATCGTGCAATCATCCAGATTAAATATTGAATAATTCTTATATTTTAAACTAACACTTTTTAATAAAACACGCACACACATACCCATTCCTACTTGATAACATGTGGTATAGAACTCATAATTTTCTCCATAATAATGGAGAAGGCACGCGACATCAATGGAATTATAAACTCTTAGCTATATTTTTAATTTGTACGGAATAACAATTTCTAGAATAAATCATTTTTCTTATTCATTAACTCATTAATTATTGTTTAAAGTTTGCTTGGAAAGCAAAGGATGCCAGGAAAAAAAAAAAAAGCAAAAGCAAAACAAAATTGCTTTCCCGGAAGGTTTTTAGATCCTCATTAAGCAAAATTGCTTCACGCTATCACTTCACATTGGAAAGACTTGCAAGTTACAACCCAAAACAACCATCCATCAATAAACCTGCTTCTAAAGGCGCAAATAAATAAATAAATAAATATATATATATCTAATAATCTCGTTCTATATATTTCCCATACATGCCCTCCTCAATTCCTCAAGTCAATGCAAGTCCTCTTAAAAGTAATTTTTTTATTAACTACACTGTAAATCATACCTTTTATACAAACCTTAAAATGACACATTTTATCTATGAACGTGTTTAATATAAGTAGTTGAGATAAAAATTTTTTTATATATTTATCTTGTATTTATAAATTACGATTCCAAACATGCCCATAAACGCTTCCATCAAGACCTGCTTATTGAACCATACAGGAATTACAAAGTTTATTTATTTTCGCTAAGGGGTGGTTTCTCTTCGGTGCTTGTTATGCCTCACTGTTGAAGTTGAAGATTACAGACAAGTACTATGTTTCTGAAAAAAACGGGGGACCAAGCAGATAAGCAGCTATTACAGCGCTCAGAGGCTACCTTAACCATGAGCAGCACATCATAGTATGATAGGTCCCCACAAGAAAAATGTCACATTCTAACGCCTGCCCTGCTCAGCTCTGTTGAGCCTGTGACAATTCTCTTTCTTTCCTTCTCACTACAAAACGGAAATGTCACGGAAAGGATTGACCTTTCTACCACATTTAAGAAAAGAATCTCTATTTCTATAACTAAACTTGCATTAAATCTCTCAAGTCAAGCTAGAAGCTTTAGGACTGGTATACAAATGCCAAAATAAAGCTTCAATTTTCATGGTTTATCTATATGAATAATCTATCTATGTGAAGAGGCAAGGTATCAATCTTATTTACGAACAAATGTGTATCCTTTATCGAATACCCCCACCTGTGTTTTCTACGCACTTCTATCTTTCTGAGTGTTACTTTAACAGAACTGCCTTTTAAATGTGTAATGTTCACATAGTTTAGGATCGCATCAGAAAAAGGGCGTCGCTTCTTTTCTCAGGCTCTGCCTTCTGGAATCTGAACGTGAACCCCACTAAGAGCAACCACGAAATGAAGTTCTGGGTCCCCCTCCTTCTTCCTCGGTGCGCATATATTTAGAATTTAGTCTGGTTAGTGTGAATCAGTGGCTAACAAAACTCTCTCTCTCATGCTTTGTACCATTCCATTCTTAACAGTAGGTAATGGAGTCCCAAACGAGCTTATAATATTGACACGCTCGTCTTGAACCCTGGTGCCCTTTCTTACCTTTCTTTGCTTTCTTTTCTCTCAACTCGACCATGTCCTCCGAGTTCGTGTTCTATTTTGGATTGCTGGTATTTCTTGGAATGCAGCTTCGTCTAATAATGGCAGGTTAGTTCACTCAAAAGTTCTTTCCTTTCTTAGCTCTGCTTCGCCACCTATCCGTTAGGCATTCGCTTTTTCTCTGGGCGAGTACAGACAGTGGTGCATGTATTAGTTGCTTCCTTGCTCTAATCGTTACAAAATTCTATTTTTGTGGCAGCTACCTGAGTCTCATCTCAGGTGAGACTTGGTGAAGCAGGGCATGGGTACTACCATAATTTTGGATTATGCGAACCTTTTCAATCTCCTATATTTCCTCCATTTGCATGTTCGTAATAAAATGTGACACTGGTTCAACCCCGTGATAATTCATTTATAGTTTGAACTCTGAGTCATTCCTGAATCCTAATGGCTTGCTTTTAAGGCAGGGAGAGACTATCTTGAAGGATAACTAACTGCATTTACAAAAGCTTTTGCCACAGTAATTGCGACCGCGCTTCTATGTGTGTTCGTACAAACAATATTAAAATGCTTCTTGACCGGGGCAAAAAAAAAAAACAGTAATTGCTGACATTAAAGCCTGTTCACCTCAAGCATAACAATACTTGCATTTGCGCCGCATGTCATTAGAACCAAGACCAATCTAAAACTCTGCACATCTTCCTTTCTCTGTTTTACTACTTTTTACTGGCAAGCACTGTAGACTTTAAATGAACGTGTTCTGATGAATTACAGTATTTTCTATCCTCTTCACTTGTTTTTCTGAAAGATAATATGCAAATTACAAATTAAAGAACTTGTTACATATTTATACTAGATGATACGGCTCTGAAGTGGCCAAAATATTTCTAAAATCATGTGGTCTTTCCAATCTTCAATATGCCTTCTTATTTATTTTTTGTCATACCTTCAGAATATTTGCTTTTTAAGTAATATTTCTTCCGTAAATGTAAATTTAGAGAGTGACAGAAAACTTAATCGTTACCAAATCATTTCATCAAGGTAGCTGCTCTCTGACGGAAAAACTTAAGCGGTCAATGAAACAGAAGAATGATTATAAACTAAAAAGAGTCCACGTTATTTTCAAT